AATTTACTCACTGACAACAAGTTTGTTCTGGCTTCTGGAACATACAGTACACTACTAATATTTGAAATAGAGTCATCATTCTTAAACTTTACCCGAACAGAGCCAGATCCTAGACATTCTAATTTATTTGTTCCCGTAGTGAACACTTCTACTCCAGTCATCTCCTTCTCTTTCTTAAACCAATCCTGTCGAGATGTCAAATGAGAAGTAGCCCCTGAGTCGACATACCAACTAGAATCATCATTGGTCTCCAATGTCCGTGCTGCGAAGTAGGAATTCTCGCGACGAGATGTCTTCTCTTTCTTAGCTGACATCTTGTCTTCTTGCTTTGAAAAACTCTTCTTAGTTCCCTGTTTCGAGGAATTCTGCACTTTCTTGGGGCAGTCCATCCGTACATGGCCAATTTCACCACACAACCAACACTTAGGTTTTCTTGGAAAACTGTTCTTTCCATGAGACAGAAGAGCCACATCTTTACTATATGAGTTCGTGTCATCATACTCTTGCAATTTTCTGGAAATCAAGTCAGTAGAAATTGTTATACCACAATTATCATAGGTTTGTCTCATTGGTTCAAACCTATCAGGCAAATTTGCCAACATCATTGCTGCTACGAATTCGTCATCAAGAGGTTTCTTCATTGACCGCAGCTTATCAGCAATGTCCACAAAAGCATGAGTATACTCAGTCAAGTTTTCAAACTGTTCTAACCTCAATTCCGAATTTCCAATCAGAATAATTTAAACGACCGTCCAGCTTTTCAATCGGTGGCAAGGTTGCAGCTGGATTCGACATCTTTGATAATACTCAAAAATATCCACAACTCTTCAGTTAATTATATACTACGCGCAGTGCTAGCGTCCTGGGCCCATAACCTGTTGTGAAACCTTTCTTTTATTTTTTCTTGATCGACACACTTCCACTTTTACATCCAGTAATATCATCTGGTATACGCACTAGCGTGCACGTGCGCATACGAAAAACCACCCTTCCACATCACTGCCTGGAACTGAGCCATGTGGTTAGATCGGGTTAGATGGGTTAGATTGTACGACATGCGTATATAAGTATTACCAACATATACAACAGAAACAACATGCGTATATTAGTATTACCAACAGATAAATCTCCAGTGCGTCTTATAGCCACCTACCTGTACATTTACGGCCATGAAATTCATTATTGCCTACAGGTACCGAATTCTACATTGATGGCATACATCAGGACCAAGTTCATTGTTCTGACTCCCTGCAAACAGCTGCTCAGTGCCCGAAGAAATTACCATTTCATGAAACCCGCGACCTCACTGCATTGTTCTCACAGAACTCATTGCCCCTTATTCTCAACTACACGACTCCTGCGCTAGCTTCCCGGGCCTCATCATGTGGGATTTGTGGTGGACACAATGTGGCACTTGGACAGATTTTCTCAAAGTACTTCGATTTCCCGTCAATCTTCGTTCCACCAACTGCTCTACAATCACCCATCATCTAGGATTGGTGCAATAAGCTACAACTAGCCAAAGTACCAAATGGTCTCTCACTCCAATAAAAATAATAAATAATAAAATAATCCTGTCCACACCACGCCCCCTTGGCTCCATTTCTCCCAACATCCATCTAATTTTTCTATTTGTATCCCCAACATATCCTTCCAATTATCCTACCAAAATACCTTTTGTATTCCTCTCCTGTGACTGACATACCTTTGGTTCTTTACTGTTGTTATCTTTAAGTAATTAAATTTCAATGGAAAATTGTGTGGGAAATTGTTTGTGAAGAGGCATTACTTTATAATTGACTTGCAAAGTTCAAGTTATGTTATCCACCACAGTTTGAAACTCTGAGAAGCAGAAACAGTATCAGGATTGAATGTGGGCAGGACTATTTATGTAATTTCTTTACCTGTTTCAATTTTGTTACATTGTTATTCACTTTGGTGTTAGAGGTGTATTCCTTCTCTTACTTGTGCCATATAATCCTACCTGTACTGAAATAGTGAACATGAACATAAGATTTTCAATAGTAATTGCATTTCTTTAAGACATATCATTAGTTTTTGCTATATAAACGTATCCAATACTGAACTGGGAGATGAATAGATACCAGATTTTCAGTATTCATTACATTTTTTGTAAGATATGTTACTTTTGCCATATAAACCTTTCCATAATTGAACTGGAATATGAATAGATACTAGATTTTCAGTATTCATTACCTTTCTTTGTATGATATGTTACTTTTGTCATATAAATCTTTACATTACTGAAGTGAAATATGAATAGATACCAGATTTTCAGTATATAACTGACCCATGTAGTGAGACTTCTAGCCCCACAAGTTGGTCGGCACTTATAACTCGCCACTCATAACTGTCCTCTTAGTACCCTTAAGTTGGTCTCCATTTTTATCCGCCCCCTCCTTGTTGTCGTCTGGTTCAGGGTAGGGTGTGGGATTACTCTGAATTTGAATTTGTATGGGTGCCAGTGGACTTGGGTCAAACCACGAATTTGGAACGGGGAAAACAAAGGGGGGGGATATGGATAGGTGGGCGTTTGGGGTTCCGACTGCTCAGACGGTAGGACGAGATTCTGTCTCAGGGCGACTTCTGGGCCTTGCTCACACAAGGAGATAGAAAACACATGAAACACACACTCCACTCAACACTGTTGCTCTTTATTTGCAGATGTGAACGAGGACTACCTATTACACTTTTTAATTTGTGTACCGGACTTCGCAAATACCAATTTAACGTCCGGGAGGTTACTACTAACTCCTGTTACTCCCTAAGCCGACTGACTCCTGTTATTCCCTTTTTGCGACTCACTCCCGCTATTCCCTTTTGATGACTCACTCCTGTTACTTCCTTTTGATGACTGACTGCTCTGGAGATGCAGAAGTCCTGATGGTTCCAGGAACGCCTGGTTTCCTCTCTTCTGAAATTTTGCTGATTGGCTAAACCTAAAATTTGGGTGTTTCTCTGATTTACATTCAGCCAATCCCTAACAAGCACCATGTAAATTTTGGCCTAAGTACAAGACGGTCCCTCTGACAGCTCTCAAATAAATGAAGGTACGCTAATTATCGCTCTGTACGCCCCTCCGAAAATTATTGCGACTCGTATCTGTCACGTCTCAAATTTTCAAAGACTCGCACCATCGAAGTTAGGCATTGAAATTCCCAGAAAACACAGCGGGATACTTCCTGCTCCATTCTGGGGGTTTCAATTGACCTGCAGCTTGCTTGTCCCTCTGAAAGACCATATGTCGTCCTTGGCATCTGCTGGTGCTGGGGTCAATTCTGTATCATCTTGTGTTAACAGTAATACAGTTCGTTTACATGTAGTACATTGTAATTAAAAATGTAAATGAAAAATATTGCTGAGGTTCCTGCATGGTGTCGTTACAAGTAGTCATTACATTCTTGTAAGATGTGTTACTTATTCCATATAATCCTTTCCATTACTGAACTGCAATATGAATAGATACCAAATTTTCAGTATTCATTATATTTCTTTAAGATATGTTATTATTTCCGCCATATTATTCTGCCCAGTACTGAATATATCAGATTTTCTATCATTAAATGCAGTCTTAATCTTGTTGACAAGAGTGTAGTTCACGTTCTCGAATTCCATCATTCTAATGAAAATAATAATAAATGGGAACATGGGTATTGTTGCTTGCAATACATGATTTATAATACTTCATGTAACCGAAAAACTGTGTTTTGTATGGCTTTCAAGTGTAAGTTATGAGGAAATTATGGGCTTTAATATATGTATCTCTGATGGAAACAGAATTTTCTTTCAAGTTTCCCCACCTTCAGCTTTCCTAAATACAATTATTCCATGTATGTTACAATTCACAATGTTCAGTGCCTTTGGTTAAAGAGGTGTTTCATGTGAAAGAAAGGTTATGACTTTCCAGGCACTAGTGAGAATCTTTCTCCGGAAAAATAAATTGCAACCTTATCTCTTGTACTCCAGAGCTGCAGGGGCTCTTATTCCATTGTTATTTTTTATTTTTTTATTTTTGGAAAGGTTTGTGGACAAAGTTTAATAACACTTCACTCAAATCCAACCCAAAGGATATGGGTGAGGTGATATTGAACTTACTTATGGAGCTGAGCCCTTCTTGAGAACCCGCCAATTGTGCAGCCACTCAAGAATTTTCCAGCATTTTATGGAACCCGAAAGTTCATTACCGTGTTCACAAGAGCCCTCCACTGGTCCCTATCCTGAGCCAGATCAATCCAATCTATAACATCCAATCCTATCTCTCTAAGATCCATTTTAATATTGTCCACCCACCTACGTCTTGGTCTTCCAAGTGGTCGCCTTCCTTCTGGCTTTCCCACCAATATCGTATACGCATTCCTCGTCTCCCCCATTCGTGCACCAGTTGGCACCCACTGTGTAAAATCTAACTTTTCTTTTACCGGTGATATCATTTTCGATATATCTAAGCGAAACGACATGCGAACTGTTGTTTACAAATCGTAGTGTAACCTAACATAACCTCCGCTAGATTTGTTACGCGTCTGTGAAACTTATCTCATTATTAGTTTGGCTTGTCAAATGACTATGTTAAGAATATCGACAAAAACCACAGGTTCAAAATGAATGGTGTGTCAATATACTGTTTTATTGTATTCGCCAAAAAATGCACTGAAAACGTATTTGACCAATGGAAATATTACCCTTTGTTTTGCTCTCGTACACCCTTGTAGTGCAGTACATTAATTGTTTCAAAGTGTAACGGTCTAAGTCTTAGCTGTAAATGTGCAGAACAAAAATGACTATATATGTAAATGTCCAGGAATTATTAAATTAGAAGATGTGATGAAATTTCCATTTCATTCAAACTGGTGCCCTCATGTTTTATGTGGGTGTGAATCGTACCCTCTCATTTTAAGCAAATAAAGAGACTGAGGATGTTTCGTAGACACAGATCAGTATGAACGAAATGCTGAGGAGGAAATCTGAACGTAAGAAGATGAAGGACCAGAGGCATTAATAAATTAATGATAAGGTTTATAATGTTTGCTCGAAATCTCTTAATTGTGTGATGAAATCAAGAAGTATGACATGAACAGGGCATTTGACATGCACAGAAGAAACAAATACAGATTTTATATTAGTAAATCTTAGTCATGAAAATATTAAAATGGAACTTCAAAGTAGTGAACATGTGAAGTGAATTGATATGTCTCACAGCTCAATGGTAGGCTTTTTGTGAGCGTGGCAGTGAACTTCTTCTGTTCTCATCATATTCGTATGTGGCTTGTACATATTTTCTTTGCCAAACCATCTGTTGTCCACCCATCCTTCTCTCTTGTGGATATCAGGAACTCTCCCCAGGGTTACAGTGGCTGGAGCATGAATCTGACTGCTCATCTCCATTTAATTCCAAGATTAAGAATGTGTGTGGAGCTTTACCTCTTCTTCCCAGTACATCTTCATAATATAATGTTATAGGAACAACTTTCCTTAACCATGTACACATGGAAAATCTCCTATGAATTAATTTTCTTCATTTGGACATTAAACTACAGTGAAGAATATTATTTGCCATATAGACTTGTTTCTAGTTCTTGAACAGTGAAAATGCTTACATTCAAAATGGTTACACACCTAACATTTCTTATGTACTCATATAATAAGCATTCAGGAAGTCCAATAAACAATCCAGATCCTGTGTTTAAGTCATAACAATGTGTTGATGTAAGATTTGAGGTTTTCACGGCGGTCACTCTGAAGAAAGCAGTCTTGTGGGATGTGGCGCGATGTAGATATTGTGTTAACGGATGTTTTGGAGGAACATCGCCTCCATCTTCAAGGTAGAAGACAAGAAATCTGCGAATGAACCAGCGTGAGCAGGCTCGCGGATTTCTTCTTGTCTTCCACCATGAAGATGGAGGCGATATGTTCCTCCGAAACATCGGATAACACAATATCTACATGGCGCAACATCCCAGAAGACTGCTTTCTTCAATGTGTTGATGGTTTTGATAATTTCTAAATTAGCTTTTCCTGACGGTTCCAGCTGAAACATCAAAATTTGTACGTATTCTTTTGACCTGAAAGAATCCACAACTGGACTGTCTGAGGATATTTTAATAGTATAAAGTGCATCATCAAGCTTAGGCACTTTCGTGATAAATTTAACATAAAAATGTGGAACATTTAATTTAATTTTTTATAAAATTTATTACAGGATGATATTAAGCAGTTAGTGATGCCTCCACCAATATTCACTACAGTTCCATCACTGCCAATGTTTCTGGTTGAAACTAGTGAAAGCAGATTTACTTCACAGTCAGAGAAGCCTGAATCATTCAATATCCAATCAACTTCTGATGGTACAGCAGGTGAAATTGAAACGGAAACACAGCAGAGACTCCTTAGGAAGGTACAGCATATATGGACATTCATATGGTCCTTAGATCCTTAGATCAAAAATGTCTTCCTAGTCCTTCCAGCAAATGTGTAAAATTTGTCATTTCTGTACTCAGACTAGGCTTTACACATGACAAGTAGGCATTCCAAAATTACTTTATTCCTGAAATAAGATTCTTTAGTAAATATTATTGCACAAAAATGTTACACTCCAAAATTCTCAAAGTATAAATAGTCTCTGTTGTTTATGACTTAACACCAACCCCAATATGTGCCCCATAATATGCACACACACTAATAATACAATTCATATTTCAAACCACATCAAAAATAACTCCAGCAAGAACCCACAATAATAAAGCATGACAGCAGTCTGCACTACAACATGTCACAGAAACAATATTATATTCACTGATTGTAATTAAAGCATTTCAACTAATAAGAAATATCATGTAACATATTGCATTTAATATTTAATTTTTCGATACTGTAACTAAGAAATGTACAAAGCATTGCACTAATACGTCTGACAGTACAACCTCATATAAACATTGACCAATGTATGGAAAAGAACATAAGTTAAAGATATATGTAGAACACCTGATGAAGGCCAAGAGGCTGAAACATGTTGTAAACTTTTAATGTATAGATTACTTATGCATAGATTGTGTTGGGTTGTGTTTTTTTGTTCTCTGTTAGTCTTTCAGGCAAATGTTGGAATAGTGCCTTAAAATTGGTTGCAACCACTACCACATCATTCACAATCTCTCTTCCATTCAGCACTTTATAATCTGTGCAATTGATTGATACTTGGGACATGAGAAACCATTATTAAAGAGCTAAGAATTAGTTTGTAATTGAAATTGTACATCTTTAGCCTAATTAGATACAAGTGATGAAGGAAAATAAAAATAATTTGAAAATAAATGTTGCATTTAGAGTAGTTGGTTGTTTAAACTTTTAAAATTGAGCCAGTAATTGAATATTAATGTCAATAACAGCACATCAAGCAGAGAGGCCCATTGATAGCTAAACAAAATGGTGTCGGGGATGGGAGTAGTAGCAGAACTGAACTGTTAGTGCATCCACGAAGGCACCATCATCACCACAGGCTTAAATATAAGAAAGACTCATCAGTCCAATTAATGGGAAGAGAAGAATTGACATGTGACAGGTATGTGCACATTCTGATAACATTTTGGTTATAGCCTCTTCTGTGAGAGACAGTGGAGTAACATATACCAGCAAGAATGGAAGGACAACCAACACATTCTGTAACTCCATTGAATAGAGCCCTTCTTGAACAGTTAATAGCCTTTCAGCTCTCAAGAAATTTACCATATTTTATGGAGTCCTGTGTTCAGTTGAGCCGTTCTAAGGTTTAGCTCGCTCACGTATGATGTCATCATGTTTCCCTTAACGGATTCCATCCCCACTATGCAGTATCCTGACGTCAGTCACGTGGTCCCATGTACCCTCTCGTGAAGGGGAGACTTGTACCGTGCAGTCGTGTAGACCAAGTTGACTTGGAAGGTCGGTTACTAGCCAGCAGGGTTGTTGTGGAAAATATTGGTTTCGGCTGGGTTTGTTCTAAATTCCCTTTTGGTGCTATCTGGCTGGCCGGTAAGGATTGCCCGCGGTCGCAAGCCGTTGTTGAACGCTTGCAACGCGCGTTATTAGATTTGGTTTGGTATTTCTTCAGAATTAGACTTGTGTTTGTATAGCCTGAGTGTTTAACGTCCTAATATGTCTAGTGTCGACAAAAGTGGTGCCGACAGGAAATTGTTTTGTTCTGAATGAGTTTGCATTAGTTTTTGGTCAAATGTGTCGTTTGTTATTTATGTATTGTTATATATTTTTTTATTAAATTGTATTTGTTCTTATCTAAGCCAACGAACTGAGTGTAGCTTCCTCCTCCGAGCTTGGATACCCCATGTCCAACTAGGGGAGCATGGGAACCAACAATAGGGCCAGTAACGATTGCGCTGTGCCCTTCCTCTTCGTAAGAATAATAACATTATAATAATCAGAAGGAGAGCAAGACGAAGGGCGCGGTACACAGTACCAGATTCTACCTTCCTTTCAAGCTAGTTTCTTGTTCAGCTTATTCTTCAACCCTGAAGATGGAGGCGGTATGTTCCTCTAAAATGTTGGCTGACTTTCAACGGACTACAGTGTTATATCCCAGAAGATAGAACTATTCCTAAGTACCACTCAAATCTTACAAATGTGAATACTGATTCAGGTATTTCTGTAAAGTCAGGAATTTCTTACACAATATTCAGGTTATTTATCCGATGAAAATTCACTGAATATGAGAAGATAAAACTTTGTAAGATTTGAGGTGCCCAGAGCAGTTACGAACAGTTCTCTCTTCTGGGATATAATGCCATGTAGTCCAGCAAAAGTCAAGTGATATTTTGGAGGAACATGTCACCTCCATCTTCAAGGTCAAAGAGCAAGCCAAACAAGAAAGCAGCATGAAGAAGGGTAGGATCAAGTGGCAGGATTTTGTGGACATGGTAGTGAACACAGGGTTCCATGAAAGATGGTGAATTTCTGCTAAACAGCAAAAATGTTTATGTAGCAAGACTGAGGAAACGTTTTGGACAGAGGTTGGTTTTGAGGTTCACACAGCAGTAGCTATCGTCTCAGATATCATGCCATGTAGTTCAGCTCTGCTTGGTGCCTGCTTCATACTGGTTTCTTGCTTGGCTTACTCTTCTACCGTAAAGATGAGAGCAACATTTCAAACCAATAACTCTTTATATGTGATTGGTACCAGAAGGAATGACCACCTTCACATACCTTCAACACATTTATCATCCTATCAGAGAAGGGTGTATTATTCAGCCGTCAAGCTATTTAACACTCTGCCATCAAATATCACAGTTTTAAAAAATTATAAAAAGCAATTTAGGTTTGTTTTATTAAATTATTTGCAAAGTAATGCATTTTACTCTATTGATGAATTTGTTGAGCATGCAAGGGGCTCAAAAGTTAAGATTTAATAAATGGTCTGTGTGCGTGAATTATACATTGTTGAGACTTGCTTGTTGTAAGTGTAGTAGTATATATAATGTCAGTTTCTGTTATGAATTTTAACATTTTAAAATGTAACTGGATGATACGGCTTTACAGTGTGTGTGGAATGGCAAGGTGTGAATTTGACAGTGGTTTTTCCACGACCTATGTGTGTTGTCCTGAAACCTTGAGCTATCTGTGTGAGGCCTGATTATATATTTTATTGGACCAAGGACAAATGATGTGTAGTCATCATGAATTTGTTATATGTGACATGTTTTATATTCAGCCCTACGGGGAGATGATTGGATCCATGAAGTGAAAAATAAATGTAAATGTAAATGTAAAACATGTTCCTTCAAAGTATCAGTTGAACTTCACTGGATTACATGGCAATATGCCCAGGGAGATAGAACTCTAAAGGTGTGGCCACACAGAGCGCTACGCTATGTTCGCTACGTACACTACGTATGCTGTGTACGCTATGTTCGCTACACCGCATGGCCACACAGAAAGCTATGTTTGGCACAAAACTGCACAGTCTTGAATGAGAGATTGGCCGATAGTGTGCCGTGGGGGGCAGCAATGATTCCGACAATGAGCTTTTGCTGTTACTTTCCTTGTGTAAACATAAAAGGAAGTGGGTGCATGGCGTGAACTTAAGAAGAACAAAATTTGGTGAATTGTATCATCTGATAAAGCAGTTACGTGAAGATGAAGTTAAATTAAAAAATATTTCTGAATGAATCGGGTTGATGAAAATATTTTAAGTTCTTCACTTATAGGTAAAAGAACAATGTTTGTACATTACCTGGTGTATTCAGTTCTCCAGAAATCATGTCCCAGGCATTATCCCGCATGTTCTGGTTTTGATATGCTTCTAACCCTTTGTTCCACAAACATGGATACTTCCTTACTTCTTCAATTAATTCCTCCAGTGTCATTTTCATCTAAGCGAATACTGTGCTGAATGATACGTAACACGTGTTGTAATCAGAATGGGAAATTACTGAGGCGCGCAGCTGACACCTGGAAGCGAGCCCAGTGTGCCTGCCCATCCAGCGCGATGTTTTAAGAATATAGCCGAGAATCGAACACTCTGCAATGACACAGCTAACATAGCAAACATAGCGTATGTAGCGTACGGAAGTCCGTGTGGCCTGACACATTGGCAATAAAGGGAGATATTTTTATGTTCGTATAGCAAACATAGCGTACGTAGCATGCGTCACATATGTAGCGCTCTGTGTGACTGCACCTTTAATTAAACACTGTTTATATTCAGTTTTATTTGAGACCAGAAAAAATATTCAGGAAATACATTATTTCGCTAGATGTGGGAACACTAAATTTGGGTTTCACATAACGTGGGATGTAAACTATTTAATATAGGTAAAATGAATGAAGATGGTAAAAAATATTATATCCAGTAGATTAAATTGTGCTGATTGTAGAAACACTGTAATTCAGAGGGAACAGAATTCAGAGTAATTGTGTTAGTGTACAAACCTGCTGTAGGATTGAACAGTGAAATGTGGATATTAAAAAGAAATAAGATTTTCAGAGTAAATGTGTGGCACAGCCTGTCATGTGATTACTTGTCATAATGGTCCAACTATATTTGATCACTTAATCTGGCTATACTGGCTTCATATATTAAACAGGGATCCGTGTCAGTCAGAAGCACTTGAGTTCCCACCAGAACAACAAGAACCAAAACCAAAACCTAGGCGGAAGCTTCCTCTTACTGATGTGCAACACAGTCATGGCCGATCTGGAAGCCGTGCTGCTCTGTTGCAGGAGTTGGATAGACTGACAAATGAAAATAAGGAACTCAACCTAACTGTGCAGCAGCTATCATATTCTAGTCAAGATTCAGGCTGTCAGCAAAGTGAGTGAGTGCATGTTGTACATACAGTGAGAAACAAAGAAACTTGTACACAACAGCAGCCAGAAAACCCTCTGAATGCAGATGTACAGGACATGCATTCTGTTAGTTGTGGTTGCTGTCAATGCCTTGTGTCTCTCGTTTGGTGCAGCAAAAGTGCAATGGATGTGTCTGAAAAAGTTTCTGTTGGGGCTGGAATAGCTGAATCAGTATAGTGACTAGGCTGTAGGCTGGACAGCCAGGGTTAAATTCATGGCAGGGCAAGAGATTTTTCTCCACAGTGTGTAGACTGGCTCTGGGGCCCATGCAGCCTCCAATTCAGTAGGTACTGGGGGTAGAGTATTTGTCTTATGTTATAACCTTCAACACAACAAATAAATGTGAAATATCTTCAAAGAAGACACCAGAGGTTTGTATATATATCTTTCTTATTTAATGTAAGCTTACATAAATAAGTAAGATTGTACCAACATATGTTGTATTCATTGAAGATATTCCCACTTTATTTGTTGTGTCGACAGTTATAATATAAGATAAATATTATATATACAACAGAATGCAATCTATAAAGGGGTAGAGTAGCTGGGTCATGAAAGTGATCACTCACCTCCATCTAGCACTGAGTTCAAGAATGGTAGAGTTATACCTCCAGTGCCCAATATGTTATCATGGCATGATGCTCAATTAATTAAGCACAGGTAAAACTCTGCTTTTTCCTTAACGTATTGTCCATTAATAAAAGCAGTAATGTGTGATCATATTACATGGCTCCATGGATAAAGCCTTTCTTGATAAGCTAAGTCACTCAGGTAGACATAAAAATCTCTCACCTCATATAGAAACCTGTGTTCATTACCATATCCGTAAGAACCCACCACTGAATCCCCCCGTGAGTCAGATGAACCAAGGTCATATCCTCATCCTATTCCTTTAAGACCCATTTTAATATCCTCTCATCTATGCCTAGGTCTCCCAAGTGGTCTCTTCCCTGAACATTTTCCAACCAAAATCCTGTATGCATTTCTCATCTTTACTTTCCATACTGCATGTCCTGCCATTATTATTATTATTATTGTTATCATCATCTCTTGTCACAGGTTTATTTCCTGGTATTCCTTTTTCTTGAACCAGTGATGCACCTCACCACTCAGGCTTCAAGCTTCGCACTGTAGCACTTTCCGTAATATGTGTGATGTTTACAGGATAGCTGTTTTTGGCAGTGAATCTATGGAGTGCTTACCAGGAATTAGTTCCAAATATTTTCTCAACCCTCTCGTGACTGTACCTGTGGCTCCAATAATTACTGGTATCACAAAACATTTCATGTTCCACATTTGCTGAATTTCGATGCTTAAATCTTTATATTTTAATTTCTTCTCTGCTTCTTTTTGTACTATATTCCTGCCCGATGGTACTGATACATCTATAAGTATGCAAGTTTTCTTTTGCTTGTTTTTAATTATTATGTCTAGCCTGTTTGCCAGAACCTCTCTGTCTGTTTGTACGCCTTGGTTCCATAACACCGTTATATCCTCATGTTCACATACTGACTTAGGCACGTGTGAGTACCAGTTGTCTGGTACTTCAATTCCAAATTCTTTACATATTGAGTAATGTAAATGCATGCAAACTTTATCATGCCTTACTATATATTCGTTCTTCGCCAAAACAGGACATCCTGATGTTAAATGGTCTATAGTTTCTTCATATTCTTTACACAGTCGACATTTACTTCCGATCTCTTCTTTCAATATTTTTCTCTTAAAATAGTTTGTACTGATTGCTTGGTCCTGAGCTGCTACGATTAAGCTTTCTGTTTCCCCTTTAATGCCTCCAAATTTCAACCATCGATAGGTCTGTTCCTTATCCACCAGAGTGTCATCTAAGCTGCGTGGGTATTGTCCGTGCATTCTTTTCTTTTCCCATTTTTCTTTTGTCTTCTGAGCTATTGCCTTTTTTTGTAAAAATTTTGTGTACTTGCAGGCTGTGTTCGGCAAAGAACTTGTGTTGCATTGGTGTGTCCTAACAATTTTCGTCAGTTGATCTTCTGTTCCTTCTATATATTCCGCTAGGTTTGTGGTTTCTGCCACGTAAGCCGCCTCTATCTGTATCAGGCCTCGTCCTCCCTCTTTTCTAGGAACATACAGACGGTCTATATCTGCTCTTGGGTGATGCTGTCCATAGGTAGTTAACATTTTTCTTGTTTTCCTGTCCAATTTTTGTATTTCCTCTTTGTGCCAGTTAATAATTCCAAAACTGTATCTCAGTACTGGTATCTTCTTACATACTTCTTCTTCAGTCTTTCCTTCTCTTTCTTGTGTCCTATCTGGTGGTTCTCTTCTATTCCCAAGTACTTATATGCTCCATTTGTTTCTAGTTCTTTAATTTCATTCTCCCCTGTGTTTTCTACATGCTCTTTTCTTTGAACCTTACCATTTTTTATCGAAATTCTGGCACATTTTTCTAATCCAAACTCCATTTTTATATCACTACTGAATGTTTTTACAATTTTAATCTCGTCCCTCAATTCTTCCTCACTTTTTCCTAACAGTTTCAAGTCATCCATATACAACAAGTGACCTATTTTCCTTTCAGATCCATACACCTGGTACCCACATCCAGATCTGTTTAATTCATAAGTTAGCGGAATAAGTGCTATGCAAAAAAAGTAGTGGTGATAATGAGTCACCCTGAAATATTCCTCTGTTTATTTTAATGGGTTGTGATTGCATGAGTTCCTGGTTTGTTCTCAGCTGAAGCTTTGTGTTCCATTTTTCCATGGAGTGTTTGCAAAATTTCACTATCCTATCATTCACTCCTACTAGTTCCATTGACTTTTCTATCCAGCTGTGGGGCACTCTATCAAATGCCTTTTGATAGTCAATCCAAGCCATGTTTAGGTTCTTTTTCCTCCTCCTGCAGTCCTCAAGTATTGCTTTTGATTACAGCAGCTGGTCCTTGCATCCTTTACTTCCTGGATGACATCCTTTTTGTTCTTCTGGCAATAGGTTGTGCTCCTCCAAATATAACAAAATTCTTCTGGCAATAATTCCTATCAGCATCTTATACATAGTCGATAAACAAGTAATCGGTCAGTAGTTCTTTGGGTCCATAGTGTTTTTCGATTTAGGAAGTAGGTATGTTATTCCTGTAGTCAGCCATTCGGACATTTGTTGAGGTTTTTCTATTATTTTGTTGAAAGCTTCTACAATATAACTGTGCATAACTGGGAATTCTTTTAGCCAATAATTTTGTATTTGATCACTTCCAGGAGACTTCCAGTTGTGCGTTTTGGCCAAAACTGAGGTAAATTCTGTAGTTTTTATAGGCATCCACTTCATGTCGCTGGTTCCTTCTCTTCCTTTTTCCTCTCTTCTTATCCATTCTGCCTTTTCATTGTGTCGTGTTTCCATTTCCCATATTGCCTGCCAGTAGAACTCTACTTCCTGCATATTGGGGTGAGCTGTGACCTCTATAGCTTTTGCCCCCAGGTGTCGATAAAATCGATTTGTGTTTTCCTTGAACATTTTATTCTGGATGTATTGGTTTTTCCTTTTTTCATATCTTCTGATTCTTTGAGCCTTTGCTTGTATTTTCTGCTTTAGTTTTTCTATTAACTCTGCTACTTCTCTGGCATTTGTCATTTTGTACTTCTGGAAAATTTTCCTCTTTTTTGTGTTCAGTTTAATGTTATCAGAGCCAGAGCCTGACTCAGTGAGTATGGACAAGTCTTTTCTCCATTTGCTTATCTGTTTCTGTATTCTTAGTTTCCAAGCATCTTTAAATCTTCCGGTTGTCATTGTTTTCCTAGGTTTAATAGTTGTTTCTGTGATAACTGTTGCTGCAGCGTATATCAAGTGGTTCACTTCTGTTATGTTTATTTGATTCTCTTCCAAGAGTTCTTTTATTATTCCATTTACTTGTTCCTTAAGGCAAACCAGCTTCTTGTTTTCTTCCAATTTCAGCAGTGTTCTTCTTTCTGACATTTGTAAGAACCTCACCTTGTGCCGTGCTACCTGAAGTTGTTCCTTTAACTCGTTCCTCTCCACATTCTGCTCTGCGTCCTCTCTCGTGCTTCTATCCTGCATTTCATCCTCTGTGGTGCTTACATTATCGTCCTTCCTTCTTACATGGTCTCCTGTGCTGTCCTCTGTATATACGTTAATGCTTTCCCTTATCTCATCGATTTCAATGTCTGTAAGCCTTTTATTCTTCAGAATGTAGTTTTTCTGGTTTAGCAGCAGCTTTGCATTCATTGTTGGCCTTACTTTTAGGTTTCTGCTTCTCCATAATTCGTATGCTTCCTTGTAATTGCCTGTTGATGCCAGGAAACACCACACAACTTCCTTCATTTCCTCTTTGTTCCATCGCATCTGTATATTAGCTTTGTCTTCGCTGTTTGATTCCCCGACATTGGGTTGTTTTGGAGGTGGTCGACGTTGAGTTTCCTCTTTGTGGTTACAATTCTCACCTTGTTGATCGTTAGAGGATTGCGCTCTACTCCTTCTGCCTTTGTACATATATTCATTTGCATTTCTTTCCATCGCTGTCCCACGAGTAGCTAGGGAATTGTTCTGTCTGCTGCGTTATTGCCCCGCCTGCCACAGTAAGGCTGCTTGTAACCAAGGGTTGCCGCTCCTTAGAGTTCACCGTTTATGGCTTCTCACCCTCCGCCGCAGGTGCTCCTGTAGTCCATCAGCACGGTAGTGTACACTTTGGGCTAGGGATTTTTTTTCGAGGTTTACTCCTCTAGATCCGCCATGTTCTGTTAAGATGTTCAACAGGGCTACCTCTTGTAGGGTGTGATTCTTCATCACGGGTCTTGAGTATAGAGAGTCTATATATTCGCATCTATATTCCTGGGGTCGGAGAGGATCTGTGCCTCTTCTTCCCCTTGGCCCCTTATTGTTGTTATTATTATTATTATTATTATTATTGTTGTTGTTGTTGTTGTTGTTGTTATTATTATTATTATTATTATTGTTGTTGTTGTTGTTGTTGTTGTTATTATTATTATTATTATTATTGTTGTTGTTGTTGTTGTTGTTGTTATTATTATTATTATTATTATTGTTGTTGTTGTTGTTGTTGTTGTTATTATTATTATTATTATTATTGTTGTTGTTGTTGTTGTTGTTGTTATTATTATTATTATTATTATTGTTGTTGTTGTTGTTGTTGTTGTTATTATTATTATTATTATTATTGTTGTTGTTGTTGTTGTTGTTGTTATTATTATTATTATTATTATTGTTGTTGTTGTTGTTGTTGTTGTTATTATTATTATTATTATTATTGTTGTTGTTGTTGTTGTTGTTGTTATTATTATTATTATTATTATTGTTGTTGTTGTTGTTGTTGTTGTTATTATTATTATTATTATTGTTGTTGTTGTTATTATTATTATTATTATTATTATTGTTGTTGTTGTTGTTGTTGTTATTATTATTATTATTATTGTTGTTGTTGTTGTTGTTGTTGTTGTTGTTATTATTATTATTATTATTATTATTCTGTTTGATCCAGTCATTAATGATAGTCTTTGAAGAGCACAGATTATAAAGTTCTGCAATATGGAATTTTTTCCAGCCTCTTGTTACTTCTTATCATTTCATCATCAAAACACCCTCATCTCTGCTCTTTCTATAGGGCAAAAGACCAAGTATCACACCCATATGAAACAAGTGGTAAAATTATGATTTTGTATATTTCAATCTTCAGTTCATGCCTTTTTTCATCCACTTCAGCCACTAAGACATCAGACTCAGGTTCAGATGGCTGAGTTGTATGCATTTCAGTGATGCCACATAACAGTGTTCATTTTTATATTTAAAATTAAACTACTGAAATGTGTTAGTAATAACTGGACTTAGCAGCCATTACCTGTAATGCAAGATGTGAGATGGACAGAGTGCTGGTCCTCAAAACCCACTGCATTTCTAACAGTCTATCATAAAATGTTTATGGAACATTGCATTAACACACTGATTCCCAGGCTGTTCTTTGGAACCCTAGAATTCTGCAGAAAGTTCTTGAGTATCACTTCGGTAAGCTACGTAAAATCTGAAGATATTTGACATTGGGATACTGAAACCCAAATATGCACACATGTAGTTCCCACCATTACTAACCCAATTTGTATTGTCATAGCAGTTCCTCTAATTAAATTAATCTCCCTCTGATGAAATGAAACCCTGTATTTTTCATTATATACATCAAAACATATCTAGATCCATAACAATGTGATTAAATCAGAACCAGGTGAAATGGACCCAGTATGTAGTATGTAAAGGAAAAATGAAAAATTCATGGAAAATTTAAAAGGGAAACCTCATTTAAGAATAGTCACTTAAGAGACTTTAAACATAGATGGATTGGTCTTGGAGAGAGAGGATGTAGAAATTCAGACTGGATTAAATTGTGTCAGGGTAGGATCCAACTGTGGTCTCTTGTGCAGCTAAGTAACTGTCAGTTTTTTCAAGAAAATACTGTACCATGATGTCTGTTCTTCATGTGAAAGACATTTTTTATTTTGTATTTTCAGCTACTGTAGATGAAGCCCTTTGCAAGAAAGAGGAGATCATTGAGATGCTGAAAGATAAATTCTTAAAACTGGAGGCAAACTGCAAACACCTTGAGGAACAGAGAGACAATTATAGGACAGAGTTAGAAGGCATGAAATGTCGGGAGGAATCTGAGTCAGAACAGATAACTGCTCTGAAGGCTCAGAATCAAGAGCTAAGTGAAGATGTTGCACTGCTTAAGAACTTAGTGTATAGGCTTAATGTTGAGCTGGACCGGTGCCAGCAGAGACTGCACAAACAGGGCAGTGCAGGAGAGTTACCTCCACTGAAGACTGTGCCAGCCGAAGTTCAAGAAAAAGAAGCTACTGCAGCTTGGAGAAATGTCAACAAAAATGCACTTGGTCCCTTACTTGAAGCATATCAGGAAACAATAAGAGAGAAAGATGATCTGATCCGTAGTTATGAACAAGATTTAAATAAATTTGTAACAAAGTGTAAGCAAGTTGTTGCTGAAAATGAGAAATTGTATCAGGACTTGGAAGAATCTAATAAACAGGTGAATATTACATTTATCATATGTTGAGAAGTTATGAAAGGGATGTGTGTAAAGTGTAAATAAAATTAATATCTGAGATGTGATTTTATCATGGTGTTAGTTATTAGATAATGGTCAATCAATTATTGCATCAGTGGTCGGGCAAAATCATGACATAAAGAGAGGTAACAGATGTTTTGAAAATATGGCACAGTTCAGATATTTGGGAATGACAGTAACAAATCAAAATTTGATTCAGGAGAAAATTAAGGGGAGGTCAGATTCAGGGAAATGCTTGCTACCATTCAGTCCAGAACCTTTTGTCTTCTTGTCTGCTGTCCAAAAACATAAAAATTATAATATACAAAACTATAATTTTGCCTATGATTCTGTATTGGTCTCTGACTTGGTCTCTGACATTAAGGGAGGAACATAGACTGAGGGTGTTTGAGAACAGGGTATTGAGGAGAATATCTGGACCAAAGAGAGATGAAGTGACAGGAGGTTGGAGAAAACTGCATGATGAGGAGCTTAGTAACTTGTACTCTTCTCCAAATATAATTAGAATGATCAAGTCAAGGAGGATGCGGTGTGCAGGGCATGTAGCACAAATGGGGGGAAATGAGGAATGCATAAAGGATATTGGTGGGAAAGCCAGAAGGAAAGACACCACTGGAAAGACCAAAGCATAGGTGGGTGGGCAATATTAAAAAGGATCTTAGATAGATAGGATGGGGTGGTATGAATTGGATTGGCCTGGCTCAGGATAGGGACCAATGGAGGGCTCTTGTGAACGCAATAATGAACCTTCGGGTACGTTAAAATGCTGGGAGGTTCTCGAGTAGCTGCACAAATGGTGGCTTCTCAAGAAGGGCACAGCTCCATGAGTGAGTGAGTGAGTGAGTGACTTAAAAGAGGCAATATCAGAATGAAGGAAATTGCAAAATGAGTAGTTTCTTAATGTATGTGCTTTGCCTGGCGCTGTTCAGTACTGTGTAAGAACAGTCAGATGAGCCATGCATATGGCATGGATGGATTAACACAAAATGCATGCAGCATTTTCATTGGAGTATCTCTGTGAAAGAGACCACTTCAGAGACCTGTGCTTTTATTACTATTAAAATCGATATTTAAGAAACTGGTTGTTTGCCTCAAGATTGGGTGCAGTAGGAGCTTGTGTGCTGACAGTGGCAAACCTTCAAGTATCCGAATAGGCTGAAACATGATCATGTAAATATTGTATGATCAAGGAAGATCCTGTTACGGAGTTGGGTAGGTGAATAGGTAGGTTGTGAGTTTGTGTGCTCATTTGCTGAGTAGAAGCCATTTCTGAATAAGGTGATTGTGACCAAATCTGGGATTAGGCTGTTCAGCTCATACAGCACTGAAAATATACATGTTTCCATTTGTGGCCTAAATTCCTTTCTTAAGGAGAGAACGTAGGCTAATGAAGTAACCATACTCTTTGTATATACCCCCTTCCAACTTTTGAACCAGCTGACTGATTTTAAAAGAATGCAGTGAAAATGTTACCCCATTGGAGGCCACCACTGTATCATATTTTTTAATTGCCTATAGTCAGTATACCATTACATAATTTAGCATCTTGAAATGATAGCAAGCCTTTAAAAAATATGCAACAGAATATTTCTAACTACGGGGCCATTTGAGGCTGGGATTTGAAATGTAGTTTTAAGACAAATCATAGTCATACCACACTCCTTGCATGAATATTGTTTGTAAGTCAGCAACAAGAATATGGTGATGCTTATAAACTTTGAGACTATATCCAGTAAATTTAACATATAATCTATGCTTAAGTAATGAGGTGTACAAAACATGAAAAAACCTCATCATTGTCATCTGTAGGACTGGAAACCTATGCAGTAGGAATATAGACTTTATGAGCGAAGTCATTTTCATGTTAATGAAGGTAATCTGTTGTAGGCAGAAGAGAAGTCAGGTACCTGGCACACCTTAGAGCAGGACTGTAGCCTGGCACGGGAACAGAATGAGTTACTTATGAATGAGCTACAGCTGCACAAGGACAAGCTGCAGCAAGTACAAGTAGCATGTGATGAAAAAGGTAGGAGTGTGTCAACATTTGTGGAAGTTTTCAGTCCTGTAATGATATTGCATATGTCAGTGCACTATCACAGCTTCAGTTCTCTGTTGAACTTCTCCAATGACCATACATTTATATGAAATCTTGAGTAAAGAAGTCTGCTTGTTACAGTTATCCATGCATTAACATAGAGAGGAGGTGGGGGGGGGAGAACTGCAGAATGTAAATCATGATTGACAACACTAGGGCTTCATGCAGAGACACTACAAATGCTAAGGTGTGTCAAATGAAGATAAAAAAATGTGATTAAAGGTATATAATGGTGAGGGAGTTGCACACTGAGACTACATACATTTATGGCCAATAAAATTTGTCACTCTGGATACGTTTGGTAACTCTGTATGATGAATCAGTTGCTTATAGCAATGAATTAGCAATTTGTGTCATAGTCAAGACATCTACCAAACTTGAATGGCAAAGTGGGATGTGTTTTTGGAATGCAGATGGTGTTAAATCTACAGAAATGCGTCACCATACAGTCTGTGATATCAAACATTCAGATGTATGGTTGGGTGCAGAAGTTAGATATTATGTGCAAAGAGTGGATGATGCCCTGCAAACCATATTGTGACTCTAGGCTGCAATAATGCTGTCAGAGCTGTCATATGTGACAATAGTGACATTAATCGGATGGAGTCTGCTTTCGATATAAATTGGAGCAATCATTCCTTCAAGTTGTTGTCCATAATTAATTAGGTGTTCACAAAGCCAGAACAACAACAAAAGTTAAAGCCTGACCTGAAACAAAAACAAGCATACATTTGTTCACAACTTTTGCCATGATACAAAATCAAAGGTGGTGCCTTTCATGCATGTATTACATTTTTGTAAGATCCATTTTAATGTTACTTTCACATCTATGCCTAAGTTTCCCAAGAGGTCTCAGAGTTTTCAGCAGTGGAGGTTATAACATTCCAAGAAACTGTGTAAACAAAGGTAGATTTTCTTTATAAATTGAACATGTCACGAAAAGAATTCATCATTTTAAACCTGGAAGTGAGCAAAATAATATGGAATGATAGCATCCCAGCTCCCCAAGGACAAAGACATGTCACATGACACAATCTTCTGTCAAAATCATATTAATGTAATTCAGAGTTATGAACGGTATTGTTCTGGAATATTACATGGAAGAAGGGACAGCTACGGACTCTGCTGCATGCTACAAGTTACTGAGGACCATTTTGAAGTTGATCATTGGCACAAAGTGTTGGAATTTCTTGCAAATCAGGTTTGCCTCCAGCACAGTAATACTTGCCCTCACTGTGCTCATGCAACTAAACCAAACTCCGTGGCTTTAGTCCACAAGTGAACTATATGCTTGTGGAGGTCGGCGCGGCCCACATTGATGCGATCGATGTCTCTTCAATATTGAGGAGCGAACATACTGTCCATGGTTTGCATCTTAATCCTCGAGGCAAGGACAAGCTGACGCGACTCATTGCAGAGAGCATTAAGGGCAGACACATTCCAGTTGTCATGGGTGTTCAGAATCATTTTTTAGGATAAAGAGTGCAAGTAAAGTTTATCAAGTAAAAGAAATTGCAAAAGAAACTAATCTTTCAGACAATAATGTTAGTGAACCAATAGAAATCAGAAAAGGTAATTGCAGTCTACTAAATTCAGTGAATAATAAAGTACTAAGAATATTCCATCAGAATATAAGAGGATTGAGAAACAAAACAAATGAACTAATAAGCTCCATGAATTCAAATCTTCCACACATACTGTGCCTTACTGAACATCACATGAAACAGCTGGAATTAGAACATCTTCACTTAGAAAATTATAATTTAGGTGCTAGATACTGTAGGAAAACACTGGAGAAAGGAGGAGTGAGTATTTTTGTACACAAAAACCTAAAATTTACTAAAATAAATTTAGAAGATTATTGCAAAGACCAGGATCTGGAAGCATGTGCTCTAAAGTTAGACTCTCCTTTTTCAAATATTTGTATACTGACTTTATATAGAGCCCCATCTGGAAACTTCAATCACTTTTTAAATAGATTAGAAACCATCCTAAATGTACTGCATGGTTCAAAAGTTGAATTTATAATTTGTGGTGATATAAATATAAACTATCTCATCGACAGTAATAGGAAACTAAATTTAGACTCTTTGTTATCATCTTACAATCTCTCCAGTACTGTTAACTTTCCCACAAGAGTTCAAAATAATTCTAGTTCAGCGATAGATAATATATTCATTGATAACTCAAAATTAAGAGACTATACTGTAGGACCCTTTATAAATGGCTTATCCGATCATGATGCTCAACTCATAGAAATAAATAATATTGACCTTCAGCCCAGTAATCAACAATATCAAACAGTAAGGAAAATCAACAAGCATACGATGGCAGATTTTGTCACAAAATTAAGTAATGAATCATGGGACAATGTATTTGACAGCAATAATATTGATTCTAAATTTAATTGCTTTCTGAACACATACTTGAGGATCTTTTATTCAAGCTTTCCCTTAAAAATAGTCAAAAATGAAAATAAAAACAAATCCACCTGGATAACAATTGGAATAAAAACTTCATGTAAACACAAAAGACAACTATATTTGGCCAGTAGGGACAGTAATGATCCAAGACTAAAAAGTCACTACAAAATGTACTGTAAAATTTTGTCAAAAGTCATTAAAGAAGCCAAACAGAATAACTATAACAGCCAAATTCTAAAATCAAACAATAAAATTAAAACCACCTGGGATATTGTGAAAGTTGAATCAGGAAAGAAATCTGTTAATGAAGACGTACAAAGTTTGAATATTGAAGGGAAGTCCACTAACAATCCACAAGCTATCGCAAGTGCATTTAATGAATATTTCCTTTCATTAGCTGAGAAAACATATTCCAATAATAATAATAATAATAATAATAATAATAATAATAATAATAATAATAATAATAATAATAATAATAATAATAATAATAATAATAATAATAATAATAATAATAATAATAATAATAATAATAATAATAATAATAATAATAATAATAATAATAATAATAATAATAATAATAATAATAATAATAATAATAATAATAATAATAATAATAATAATAATAATAATAATAATAATAATAATAATAATAATAATAATAATAATAATAATAATAATAATAATAATAATAATAATAATAATAATAATAATAATAATAATAATAATAATAATAATAATAATAATAATAATAATAATAATAATAATAATAATAATAATAATAATAATAATAATAATAATAATAATAATAATAATAATAATAATAATAATAATAATAATAATAATAATAATAATAATAATAATAATAATAATAATAATAATAATAATAATAATAATAATAATAATAATAATAATAATAATAATAATAATAATAATAATAATAATAATAATAATAATAATCCAATATACTATCTGTCACGTGCCTTTAACAATTCATTTCCAAATATAAATCTCAAATTCTCAACAAGGAAGGAAATTGAAAACATTATTAAATCCCTTAAGCCCAAAAATTCACATGGATATGATGAAATCTCTACCAAATTACTTAAAGCAAGCTCTGTTTACATCAGTTCACCCTTGAATCATCTATGTAATAAATCTTTATCATCAGGTACTTTTCCTCAACGCTTAAAATACGCTGTAATGAAACCACTTTTTAAAAAAGGAGAGAGAAAATGCATCTCTAATTACAGACCAATATCCATATTGACTTCATTCTCAAAAGTCTTTGAAAAAGTTATGTATAATAGACTACTTGAACACTTAAATTCTAACAACATATTAGTCAAAGAGCAATTTGGATTTAGGAAAGACCTAACAACAGAAAAAGCAACCTATGAACTAACTAACGATATTTTAAGTGCTCTCAATGACAGATTAATTGTGGGAGGGATTTTCTGTGATCTAGCAAAAGCTTTCGATTGTGTTAATCATGATATCTTACTATCGAAATTAAATTTCTATGGAATAACTGGCAAAGCTAATGAATGGATCAAATCATACCTCAAAAACAGGTATCAAAGAGTTGAAATAAATAATAAAAACTCCAGTCATAATGCATTTTCAAACTGGGGAATTATAAAGCACGGTGTTCCACAAGGATCAATTTTAGGTCCCTTACTTTTTCTTCTCTACATAAATGATCTATCTAAAACCATCAACAATAAATCTAAACCAATTCTATATGCAGATGACACTAGTATAATATTTAAGAACTCTAAATTTGAAAACTTTAAAAATGACATAAATATTGTATTTGAAGCCTTAAACAGATGGTTCGAAGCCAATTTACTCTCATTAAATTTTGATAAAACCCATTACATATCATTCACAACTAAAAACAACCACCAAATTGATCTGGACATCAGTTATGCCAACAAATTAATCTGTAAAGTACTTGATACAAAATTCCTTGGAATACATGTAGACAGTACACTGTCTTGGAAAATACATATTGAACAAATTATACCTAAATTAAATGCAGCTTGCTATGCGATGAGATCAATTAAGCCTTTTATGTCACAGGAAACATTGAAGATGGTTTACCATGCCTACTTTCATTCTATTATGAACTATGGATTAATATTTTGGGGGAACTCTTCACATAGTGTAATAATTTTTAAAATACAAAAGAATATAATTAGAATCATTACAGGATGTAGAAGTAGAGATTCATGTAGAGAATTATTTAAGAAATTAAAAATTCTACCTCTTCAATCGCAATACATATTATCGCTTCTCTTATTTGTTGTTTACAACAAAGATAAATTCAAATTAAATTCTGATGTCTATAACATGAATACTAGACAAAAATATAACTTCCACCTACCCTCATCAACTTTATCAGTATATCAAAAAGGAGTCTACTTTACTGGCATAAAAGTGTTCAACAATCTGCCACAAAGTATTAAAAACTTGGGCAATGATACTAAAAAGTTTAAATCAGAGTTAAAGAATTATCTACATGCTCATTCCTTCTACTCTTTAGATGAATACTTCAATGTAAATAGAGAATGATGTAAAATTAAGTTATATTAATTTTTAAGCTAAAATTGCCTGTACTTATGTATGTAACATTTTGACTTGTTCTGTATCCAAAGGTACTAACCTGCTTAGGATTTATAGAATGTAAATAAATTCAATTCAATTCAATTCAGTACCGACCAAGTGACCACTGCTTGTCGGCGAAGTTCAACTTACTTACTCATGGAGCTGAGCCCTTCTGGAGAAGCCACCAATTCTGCAGCTACTCAAGAATTTCCCAGAATTTTATGGAACCTGAAGGTTCATTACCATGTTCACAAGAGCCTTCCACTGGTCCATATCCTGAGCCAGATCTATGCAAGCCATACCATCCCATCCTATCTCTCTAAGATCCATTCTAATATTGTCCACCCACCTATGCCATGGTCTTCCCTGTGGTATCTTTCCTTCTGGCTTTCCCACCAATATCCTATACACATTCCTCGTCTCCCCCATTCGTGCTACATGACCTGCCCACCTCATCCTCCTTGACTTGATCATTCTAATTATACTTGGAGAAGAGTACAAGTTATGAAGCTCCTCATTATGCAGTTCACCAACCTCCTGTCACTTCATCTCTCCGTAACATAATAATTTTTTACGGTGAGGAGTTGTTAGCCCCCATGCCCAACTCCCAAGCTGGAGGGCCACCCCTTGTCAGCTGTCCGCAACTGCTTATTCAATATATTCGCAGCTTCCCTCCAAAAGTTGAGGGCATCTCCTCCATCCACCACCTGAGGACGCGCCATGCCATGGTGACAGGAACCCACCTAACAACAGTTGACATAATTTGAAACCGGGAATTAGAAATCATACCATGGCCTCCATATTCAGTTGATCTCTAATAAAAGAGAGTAATAAAATAAGCAATGAAGAGGATGGCACTTCAGAACCTATGAAGATGTGAAGTGAGCAATGCATCTCTGGCTTAGAAATCAGCCAGAATTATTATATTATGAAAATGGTATAGGTATACTAGTGACCCAACTGAAAAAGTTCATCAGTGATGAGACAGCAACATATATTATATATTATCACCCAGCAGATATCATCAGTGTAGACCAACAGCTGATATGTCCCATTTAATTTCAGTCCCACCTGGTTTTCCTGGACCTTTAGAATATGTCCTAATGACATATGTCCTATTTTAAAGCTAAGTTGAAAAGGAGTGGCAATAAAGCATCTTATTGTTTTTGACCAATTTGGGTAGAAAAATTATCATTTCCATAGAAAAATGTATATTTGCTTGCTGGTTTGGTGTCACCTCTGTCCCATCTGACCTCCTTTACTCCCACTAAATCTAACATATGTTTTGATATTTCTATTACAGCTGTCATGAGTGAACCTGCCCTATACAGACTTCTTACATTCCACGTACCATACTTGATTAAAACCTTCGTTGTTTCTAGATGTCCAGAAATCTAAAAATGTTTCAAATGAATTCTTTTTACACTTAGAAAAATTGTACATAATTTAGAACACAGAGTGTATGCAACACATGTCTAGACAGTTCTGTGTCTCAGCTCTGAGATAGCTTGTGTTGAATAATTAAGTGAATCAAATTAATTCAGGGTTGGCTGGATTACTTAGCATGAACATTTCTTACAGTACACTGCTTGCTGCCAGTCAGCATCATGTCTGTTTTTTCATTCAGTTGCAGAGCTGACAAAAGACAACGAAATGTTGGTGAATAAATTTCACCAGTATCGAGGGGAATTACTGACCTTAAAAGGCCAATATTCAGTACTCAGAGAGGAATATGATCATTTGAAGAAAGATGCTGACAGCAAAGTTCCATTTTCTGTACATTCTGCATCTGTTTCAGAGTGTAGGCGGTAAGTTTTTCACTGGAAAAAGAACTTTAGAAGTGAATTATTGTTTTCCTTAAAGAAGGTAATTATTATGTTTAAGTAATGAACCCCATGAGCTGGGATATCTCAGACAGTATAGTGACTGACTATGGGCTGGAGGTCAGGAGTTGGAGTTTGAGTCCCTGTGAGGCAAAAATTTTCACTTTTCCATGTCATCTGTGGTCCACCCAACCTATCCAATGGGTACTGGGGGCCCTTTCCCTGGAGGTAAAGCGGCTGGGGCATGAAGCTTACCACTCACCTCCAACTAGTGCTGAGGTCAAGAAAAATGTGGATCTATACATCCACTCCCCATATGCCCTCATGGCATAATGCTTAATTAGTTGAGCACAAGGACAACTTTACTTTTTACCATAAGTGATGAACCCCATGGATCAGAGTCCTTGAGGAAGTCATAGGTCTTCTTCAGATGAAGAAATTTCCCACCGTTTGTGTAACCTAAAGGCTCATCACCATGATGGCAGGAGCCTGCCTAAACCATACCCTATATCCAGTCCACACTCTCACATCCTGCTTCTATAACATCCATTATTCTGTTTTTCCTCCCTCTTACATCCAAATATTCTCCTCAGCATTTTGTTCCTAAACAACCTCATTCTTATGTTCTTCCCCTAGAATGAGAGACCAAACTTACTTTATACTCACATAAAACAGCAGTAAAAATGATGTTTTTTTGTACCATGCCTTACTCTTTAGGTTTTAAATGGGAGACAGGAAAGTAAAAATATTCTGAACTGAACAACAGTAAGCATTTCCCAAGTTTATTTTGCATTTTGCATCTTTATGGATGCAAGTTTGATTTCTTACTGTCATGCCCAGATGTATGAATTTGAATAATAATTAATGCTCCAGAGAATTTATTGTAATGTTGTTTCATATTCAATTCCCAGTGTTAATATTTGAATTGTACAAAATAAATTTTAGCCCTATCTCATAGTTATTTGATTTCTGATGCAAGATGAGTATAGAGTATAGCATACACTTGGCTCTTTTATTTTATAAGACCTGGTCAAAAAGTATTGAGACTGAATTCATATCTTAAGCTCCATCTCTTTAGTCACCTGTGGTCAGCATGCTTTTTTCAGTTGGCTGAGAATACAAGGGCAACATGAGAGCATTACATTTTCTGAGAAGGTGGGAAAGACAGTGACTGGGAGGTTAATCTCCTTTAACCTTTAAACGCCTGGCTTTTGATATTGTGGTAAGCTTGGGCTTGCCAGAGTTTATTTAAATGCCTGCTGCTGGTGTGCATTTAAATGCACATTGCTACTCTGCTTTCAAATGTCCGTTCATGTTAAAGTAAAAAGTAAAGTAAAGCTATCCCTGTAACAGGCTGTGTAGGCCCATAGGGTTGTGAGACGTTGAGGGTCCCACACTATCTAGACAATCGGCTCAAAGATGGCGGTAAGGTTGTCAGCCTTACGCGCTGACTGCGCTTTACCCCCAGGAAAAGTATTTAATTAAGTCCTTGTACTCATTTCTGTTAGAGGCTGATTAAAGCCCGGGGCCTAGTGGGGCTGGAAGGATTAGGTCAACTGAAAAAATCCAATCACCTCATCAGGACTTGATCCCGCGACCTTCCAGCTTGTAGCATAGCCCCTCAACCACTACAGTACCACGAGGTGGTCCGTTCCTGTTAGGGCACTTAAACAATTTTAAGCATTGTGTTTAAAAATGTTGTGTCTAACACAATTTTTATGATTAATGGATGGAATTAACTTTGTTTCTATCAGCAAGGAACATAGTGTCGGATATTACAAGGGAAGATCTGAAAATTTTTATACAAAAAGTTATACTCTGTTTTCAATTTTTTCTTTTAATTTTGATGCGTACTGTAAAATTGGTTTCCAAGTTCTTCACAGAGTTATTCTGCATTATAAATTTGTCTCTGTAGCACTTGACAAATTTTAGCAGTCCCTGGTGCCATAAGACATATGGAAGCAATAAAATAATTTGGTTCTCTGCTGGAAAACCTTACATCTTTGTTACACTCTTCAGATTTTCAAATCTTTTGACTAAATGACAGAAGAATGAAAGCATGGCTATTCAAGAAATAGCTAGAGGGGTCCCTTCTTCAGTGCTAAGACCTTCCGTTATAGCTGCAAAAGATTATTGCCCTTTCTGTGGACATGAACAGACAGCTGCATCGTGGCTGCGATACAAAGTGTGATCTGTTTTCTGTGTGTTCGTAGTGAAATCTAATACTGTAGATTCATTTCAGCCTATATAGACATCAAGCAGATAACAACAAAGAAGGTATAGACATCGAATTTTACTATATGTTGTGACGTGTTGTGCTATGGAGGACACCCCNACCCCCCCCCCCCCCGCCAGCGGTGACTTGCCGAGCGGAGCCGAAGTGAGCCGAGTCCCAGCATGCTGGTTGCTATGCAAAGCAAGTAAATAGCGGTTGCTAAGCAAAGCCAGTCAACACCCCGTCTCTCCCCATGGTGACGTAACACGGGATGCCGCGGTTGCTATGTAGCCATAAACAACTCCCAACAGCGTTGCTAGGCTATCGGCAAACACGGCGACTAGGCAACAAGGAAGCAAGGCGTTTTCCCATTGTCCGGCTGAGAGTTTATAAGAGAACTGCACAGCCTACGAAGACAGTTGAGTTAAGTCGAGTTGAAATGTAGCCATCGCCGGAGACAGTTCTCAAGGCAGCAGCCTGCGAGTTGAGTTGGAATCTAGCCACAGTGAGCAGTTAAAGAGTGTGTGATCAGGTGTGGCACAGTTAAAGTGTAGCAGCCTATGAAGCGAGTAGTTGGAGTATAGCAGCAGTCACGGAAAGAAGAACCGGACGCATGTGTAATTGTGTAATTGGGAGTGTAATACAGAGAGACTTGTATTGCTCCCATACTGTGAATATGTGTAGACTGCTGAGGGGTGTGTGACGAGATTTGTGTGTAGGGTTTGTAAAGTTTGGAAACCTGTAACATTGTTATAATTAATTGAAGCCAAGACTTGTAGGTTGTTAAATAAACCAGTTAACAATCTGAATGGCGTCTTCAGTAACAAAACACGTTACACTGGTGTCAGAATTGTCTACAAACATAAACACACCACAATTTGAACTGAAGACTGAAGTCTGTGTTTACAGTGTTGCCATATGAAAATGGAAAAACTATTCGAAATGCTGAAAGAGATGAAGGCCGATATGGAGGTTGACAAGGAAGAAAGGAAGGCGGAGGAGGAAGAAATGGAGGCAAATAGGAAGAAAGACAAAGAGGAAATGCTGGCAAGAATGGACACCAACATGAAAACCCATCAAGAAGATTTAATGGCCAAATTAGACGCCAACCAAGAAAAGGCGGCGGCCGATAGGAAGGCTGACAAGGAAGAAATGAAGGCCGAAATGCAATCTATGTGGTCACAGTTGGATGAGACACTCCAACATAAAATTGAAGCTATCCAAGCAAGGACGGCTGCCTTGCGAGAAAAAATGGGAACCAGCCACATGGAGATGGTGTCCGCATTTCAACCAGAGACACGGGAAGTGACAATGGCCTGCCAAGAAATGGAGGCATGCCTAGAAGAAGAAAAGCCGGCCCCAGTGGACACGAAACCTGTGGCGGCACAACAAGAAGAGGTCCCCATAGTGATACCGGTCGGAGTGACGATGGCCTGCCGAGAAATGGAGGCATGTCCAGAAGAAGAAGAGCCGGCCTCAGTGGACATGAAACCTGAGGCGGCAGAATAACGAGAGGTACCCGTAAAAGACGCCGAAGTAATGCCGGTCAGAGAACCGAAGCAGAAAAAGCGTAGGGACTGAAACCAGCGGAATATGAAGAATCTGACATGGGGAAATTGTGGACCCCAGAAGAAGTTGGCTGCCACCTGCAGGAAGGTATCCCGTCATGCAACAGTGGCACGACGTTGGAGAAATGCCTTCAAGAAGGCAACTACCCAGGGAACCTTCGGATGCCAGAGAAAGGAATTAGCTGTCGACAATTGTCTACACCGTCTCTGCAAGCAGCCTCATGACGAGCCTCAAAAATTGCGGGGTGCCCATAGCAGTGTACAGAAATCAGCAGTGGGCATGGTTATGCCAGTAAGCGGCTGGAAGACCAGGAGGAACGACGACGTCAGGAAGTGCGGACCACACCTGAAGTGCTGTTACGTCAACGTAAAGAACTTCTCAGGGAAGACGTAAACAAGGATTGGGCACTGTGGAGGGGTCAACCTCCTCCAAAACGAAAAAAGGGAAACAGCCCGTATGGGGGGAACCGGTAGTAGGAGCACCGGCCTCCCTAGCAAAAATGAATGAAGACTGAATGAGCGACGAATGTGATACAACTGGATCTTCGGGCACGTAGCAGGAAACCGCTCGAGATGAGCTGGTCTTAAGAGGAGAGTGGTTGTAACGGCCAGATAATAGTCGCTGCGAGGAGTAGCCGAAACAATAGGAGACCCACCAAGCACATCCTTGGAAGAAAAGGAATGGGGGTGCACCGTTAGGTTATTCGGGACGAACAGCCTTAAGGAGGGAGCAGTATGAGGTGTTGCACTATGGAGGACACCCCTCCCCCCCGCCAGCGGTGACGTGCCGAGCGGAGCCGAAGTGAGCTGAGTCCCAGCACGCTGGTCGCTATGCAAAGCAAGTAAACAGCGGTTGCTAAGCAAAGCCAGTCAACACCCCATCTCTCCCCGCGGGTGACATAACACGGGATGCCACAGTTGCTACGTAGCCGTAAGCAACTCCCAACAGCGTTGCTAGGCTATCGGCAAACACAGCGTGTAGGCAACAAGGAAGCAAGGCGTTTTCCCATTGTCCAGCTGAGGGTTTATAAGAGAACCGCACAGGCTGCGAAGACAGTTGAGTTGAGTCGAGTTGAAATGTAGCCGTCGCCGGAGACAGTTCCCAAGGCAGCAGCCTGCGAGTTGAGTTGGAATCTAGCCACAGTGAGCAATTAAAGAGTGTGTGATCAGGAGTAGCACAGTTAAAGTGTAGCAGCCTATGAAGCGAGTAATTGGAGTATAGCAGCAGTCGCGGAAAGAAGAACCGGACGCATGAGTAATTGTGTAATTGGGAGTGTGTAATACAGAGAGACTTGTATTGCTCCCGTACTGTGAATACATGTAGACTACTGAGGACAGTGTGAAGAGATTTGTGTGTAGGGTTTGTAAAGCGTGGAAACCCGTAACAGTGTTATAATTAATTGTAGCCAAGACTTGTAGGTTGTTAAATAAACCAATTAACAATCTGAACGGCGTCTTCAGTGGCTAAACACGTTACAATATTTTTAACACATTAATCTCCAGAATCTGCAATAAAAGTACTGGCTCGTGGATGAGTTTGGGCATAACTCATACATATACTCTTTTTGTTGTTCTTCACTTAGGTATCATTTTAATTCCTCTATTAGGGTTTTACTCAAGTCAGTCTGGTAATTACTACATTTAAAAATAAATATTTAGGACTGTGCATGCGCTTCTACTATCGACGTGTGCGCGCACTTCCACTAGTGGAGTTTAAATGCCTGACTGGCCAAAACGGGGTACTTTGGCCACGACAACCTTACTCATCACTGGCCCGAATGGGGCACTTCGGACATTTAAAGTTAAAATGTACTCGCTCAGCATGTAAACATTTATTACAGTGTTCCTGCCAATGTTGCAAGCATCTCCAAGATTCTGTGCTTGTAACCACATAAAGCTGAACTATTACAATGTGTTAAATTTTTTCCACCACACCATCAAAACTTTCAATTTTCAAGGCTTTTATTCAAGTTTACAGAACAGAAAAAGGCTGTATCTGGTGAGTGAGCAGGCTGCTACACTGTCCAGAATATAGGCCCAATTTATTAGTGTTTTATTCTGATTTTATTGGATTGGACTGATATTATTACTTAAAGTAATCTGTTCCAATTTTTTATCTATGTATTTTGGATAATGCAGGAGACTTGAGTTCATGAAGGATATTACATTGCAGTGCCTTTACACAAAAGTAATGTAATATTACAGACATTCAGAATTTTTCTAGAGGCATCCTGGCTCCTACATGCCTGGACTTTGACTTTAGTGGCCCATTCATTATCTTCATTAGCTTCCATTTTCAGATGTACTGAAATCAGGGGTTGTGTGACAGCGTAGATGAATGAAGTGAAGCCTGGGATGGCACAATTTTAGGAGGAGCACATTTTACAAACCCTTTCCCTTTTTTATCCAGATTGATTTCTGATTATAATTCCTCATGTTATGACCATTTTTTGGCTGTTATGTAAATGTGTTACACAGCAAAATAAATTAAGCACTTTTAAAAATTACAAACCTAATGACAGATTTCTTCAGAGTGGTTCAAAATTCTGTGTTATTAACTCTAACCAAGTTTTGAGTAATTTTCTTGTTCTTTTCTGGCACTTCAACCATGTGTGGTTCTTGTCCTCCTCCACGATCATCCTCCATAGGTTCCTGTTCAGCACCTTTGTTTTCAATCCTCATACACCAGGGAATATGAGATCTTGATATACACTAATCAGTAGGGCCCGGATTTTTTGAAAATGCATATGCAAATGCACATTTTGAGGGTTTTTGGTCGTTATTGCATATTCTAAATGTAAGAGCATATTTCTGCATATATGTTTGGAATTAAGGATAATTTCAATGTTCTCCAACAAAATCGGTTTTGCCTGTGTTTTGGACATCCCTTGCCAGTTGCTGTTCTCAACTCTCTGAGTAACAGCACTTTTATCACTTACAATACAAGCAGATAGCTTGGCTATTTCGAAAGGGAGGGGGTGGGGTTTTCCTGCATTTCTTTGACCACCACAGCAGACAGTAGCATCAGAGGGTTGGTCTCGAGAGAAGTCTCTTCAGTTAATGTGTTACTCTTTACTTTAATAGTCTGCATCAAAAAAGTGTTGATGTCTGAAAATGCCTAAAGAAAAGTGCAGCAGTAGATATTTAAAAGTTCAGTGGGTGTCTGATAATAGCGACTATTCAACAGACAGTGTCGTGTACAATCAAGTGTGCGCAAAGGAAGTAAAATATGAAAAGAAATTTCAACTTGAACAACACTCAAGAACGACTACACATATTACGGCAAAGAAGGGGAAGAAGAACAGCACACCACAACAACTACTTCTTACACAGGTCAAACCCAAGTCCTCTGTTAATACATTTTCAGCCGATCTTTGTAAGGTTTTAGTCTGCAGCAACATTCCATGGAATAAATTAAGCAATCCAGTTCTGCAATCATTTCTGGAGAAATATTGTGTAATTAAAAAAAAACTCAGATGAATCAACTCTTAGAAGAAATTATCTACCTTTGCTGTATGAATCTACTCTGGAGTCAATCCGTTCTGACATCGGAGGGAACTGTGTCTGGATATCAGTGGATGAGACAACCGATTTATGTGGCCGATACATTGCAAATTTTGTAGTTGGTCAGCTAGATCCAGACAAACCCGGCAACTTCATCTTCTTGCTTGCAAAGTACTAGAGAAAACCAACCATAGCACAATAACAAGATTTTTAAATGATTCTCTGCGACTACCATGGCCATCTGAAATTGAGAATAATTGTTGTAAGGTGCTTGTAGTACTCACAGATGCAGCTTCCTATATGTTGAAAGCACCAAAGGCCTTACAAGTATTTTATCCAAATCTTATACACGTAACCTGTTTAGCGCACGGATTACACCATATTGCAGAAAAAATATGCGCATAGTTTCCAGCTGTTAGCGAATTAATTGCAAGTGGGAAAAAACTGTTTCTGAAAGCACCAGCTCATGTCCAGTTCTACAAAAATTGCCTGCCTCAGGTTCCTCTGCCACCTGAACCTGTCCTAACTAGGTGGGGGACATGGTTATCCGCAGTTTCATTTTATCAGGAGAATTTCAATCAAGTAAAACAGGTGGTTACAATACTTGAAGATGAGTGTGCATGTGTCTGTGAAGCAACAGTGGTGCTTGGAAGTGATACTGTTTATCAAGATGTGAATTTTATCCATGCACATTTTTCTACAGTTTCAAAAGCGATTGAGAGCTTAGAATCTTGCGGTGCACTCCTTCATGACTCACTTCAACTCGTTCAGAAAGCAACTTGTTCACCGAATTCCGCTCCAGGCAAAATTGGGGAGAAGATTAAATTCAAGTTAGAAAAGGTGTTGAAATCTAACCCAGGACTAAAAAAGATTCACTCCATTAGTCAGTACTTGAGTGGAATTAGGGTATCTTTGCCAGATGAATGTTCCGAACCTTTGGCGCCAGTGTATAAATACTGTCCAATCACGTCAGTTGATGTAGAAAGATTATTCTCAGCCTATAAACTCATTTTGACCGACAATGGACATAGTTTGTCTCCAGAAAACACTGAAAAACTTCCAGTTGCCTATTGTGATGCTACTTTCTGCAGTGAATGATACGTGTAAATAGGTGAGTCTGAATAAAGTGACCTGTTTCTTAAGTGCATATTGTTTTATTTTTGGTGCATATTTTCCTGCTTTTTAGCACATATTTTAAGTGTTTTTAGTTCATATTTTAAGTGTTTTTAGCGCATAAAGATCCGGACCCTAGTAATCAGCCATCTTACATTGGGTCTTCCAGCCCTCCTTGTGCCTTCAGGCATGGAAAAAGTTAGTTTCTTATACAGAGATCTTGTGTGCTTTGAGAAAGTTTATCTGTTTTTAATTTTGTGAGGGGAACAGAATTTCTCTTTGCCTGAGGTGACATTTGTACTTACATCAACACTAATTGGAATACGTCTTACAGATTAATTGTGCATCTACAAAATGTGCAGAACAGTAAAATCACAGAGACGCAAGTAAACTGCATACTCGTATATGTGCCCTGAAATATTGAATCCTTACAGGTTGCTTGACCTTACCGCCATCTTCGAGCTGATTGTCTAGATAGTGTGGGACCCTCAACATCTCACAACCCTCTGGGCCTTCAGGGCCTGGTACAGGGATAGCTATACTTTTCTTTTTACTTACAGGTTGCTTGAGGAGTTGAAGACTAAATATGAGGGAGACAAGAGCAATTTGACAACCCAGGTTCAGGAGCTGCAGTCACAGAAGCCTCATCTGGAGGTGCAGCTTGTTAATGCGACAACTGAAAACAGTCGACTACAGATCCAAGTTAAGACACTCGACAAGCTGCTCAAGTATGTTCGTGTAATGTAGTGACATTCTTTTTATGCCATATGTTACTACATGTGTGTATATACTTGTCTATATAAAAATAAAAATAGACTTATGAGATCAGCTTCCTTCTTGCAAGTGTGTGTGTGTGTGTGTGTGTGTGTGTGTATGTATGTGTATGCCACCTACTAACTTCCGAATGCCTGAACCAATCTTTATGAAACTTGATATATATATCATGGCACCTCAGCCCATTTCAACGACATAATTCATAAATCCCTTCCATCAGTAATACCAACATTACAGCCGCTCAAATTTCTTATGCAGTACCTTAATATTTCTTAAGTGCCTGTACCAATCTTCATGAAACTTGGTATGTATATCATGCCAGATGAAACCATCTCAGTGGCACACTTCATAAATTCCTCTCATCAGTAATACCAACACTGTAGTCTCTCAAATTGTTGATACAGTAATACCCCTAATGTTACTCGAATGCACAAACCGATTGTCATGAGACCTGGCATGTATATGCCATGCCATCTGAGATCATCTCAGTGGCAGACACCAGAAATCGTTCGCATTAATAATACCAACACTGCAGCCTCTCAGATTGTCGAGGTAATAACCTTAATTTGATCTGAATACCCAAACCATTCTTCATGATACTTGTTATATGTATTATGCCATCTGAGGCCATCTCAACAGTATACCTTTTAATTGCTCCCATCAGTATGACTAGCACTCTAGCCTCCCAGACAGTATTATTGTATTGACTTCACTGCACATGTATACTTAAGTTTTCTTTCTACCTATCATATCAGATGCTTAAATTACAGGGAAATGAAAGTAGGAGATTAGTCTCTCCCACAATTTCTTGTTCTACATTTCAGTCTCTTTCCAATGGGTCAGTTTGTATTTATGAATTGCGACATACAAATAAATTTGATTTCTTAACAGAATTTTTCCTATAAAAACAAGACGTCCTGGTAAAAACTAATCATCTGCTTTCTTTGATATGACATGGTCTGCATAGGAAATGATATTTCCAACAGTTCTTCATTGCTGCAGGAATGTGATTCCCAAACCATTCCCTAGCAAAGGCAGGAGGATACACAGACAAACCCACAGACTCTCCTTTGATACAACACAGACCATATAGAAAACAGCATCTCTAACAGTTCTTCTATTGTGTGTATTCATTGCCACAGGAACATGTCTACTGAGCTGTTGCCTAGCAACTGTAGGTGGGATATACACAAGGGAGGGATTTATTAAGTACACCATTGAGATGGGCTCAGGTGCCATGATATTATATACCAAGTTTCACAAAGAGTGGTTCAGGCAATCAAAAGTTGACAGGAAAGGATACACACAAACAGCAAGGTGATCTCATAAACCTACTTTTATTCCTTCAAAATGAGGAAAGTAGGCTAACAAGAATGTTATATCTTAGCATAATTTGAACTTGAAACTTGAATTCCAACTTGAAACTACTGAGAGTCTACACTGTGCTTAAGTACCTACTCTTGGCCTACATCATATACGAGGGATATTCGGAAAGTAACCTCCATTTATTTGAGGCAACTAATGTAGGAGCAGGGGAGAGCTTGCACATGCTAGGTAGTGTCACATGACTCATTGCCTTGTAAACCATCACATAACTGATAACCTAATGTTTGTTCTTGTCTCTGCAGATCTTTTGTTTATATCGTTTCTTGCAATTTTACAATTTCCTTTGCTGAAAATTCAAGAGACCACTTGGAAAGGTGGAAAGGTAGGCACAGGTAGGAGGTAATTTTTAAGTTGGTCTTTAGAAAATGGGATATGAATGTGCAGTCTGGATTGAACTGGCTCAGAATAGGTTCCAGTGGTGAGCCTTTTTTAAGTCAGTAAATAACTTTCAGGTACTATAAAGCAGGTAATTTCTTGGCCAGCTTAGTACCTATAAGATTTGCAGGGAAGGTCCTCTACCATGAAATTAGCAGTAATAACAGAAAGTTTTGGCTTAATAGTTAAAAGTAATGGAAGGAACCATTAGAGAATTCAAATAGTGTGTGAATGTAGATCCTTCTGGGCCCATATATGGCCCTGTGATTTACTTCACCATGTTTCAATTAACATCTCAGGAGGACACAGCACCGGTGTGAGGAGTTGCAGAATCAACTGGTTACCTGTCAGGTCTCACGAGATGCATCAAAGAGACAGCTTCAGAGGGCTATGACCTTTGCAGAGGAACTTGTAGCAGAGCAAGAGAACCTGTTGCGTCAGCTGCATGCAAAACAAGAAGAGAACAACTCTATAGCTCGTCTAGGCACTACAATAGTCTACCGTATGGGTTCTCTGAAGACCAAACTTAAGGTGAGTGCTTTTCAAAAACACATACAAACCAGAGCTTTGCATACATCAGAGCACCAATAAATGTGTGACTTAGGCTTTCAAGAATGCACTGCATAAAATGTTGAAGGCTTCCCAGTGTTTTGGCAAACTTTCATTTGCCATCTTCAGTTTTTCATGAGGCAAGTGTTTTTTTTTAACTAAATTCTTTCTGATATGAGTTTGTTTTAAATTATTAATCTTCTTCATGTTATTGCTAATATTTATTTTATACTGTTTGGGTTGTGTAAAATTAAGAATTATGTACATACACTGGATATTAATGTCATGAGTCTTACTTAATGCGGAATACAAGGTAAGATAAAAGGTAAAGTTGTCCCTGTGCTTAATTAATTAAACACTACACCATGAAGGCGTATGGGGAAGTGGATGTATAGACTAGTTGGAGGTGAGTGGTCAGCTTCACACACCAGCTGCTTTACCCTCAAGGAAAGGGGCATGCCATAGCTCAAGCGGTTAGCCACTGGCTTCCCACCGCAGCAGCCCAGATTCAATCCTGGGTCTGATGAAATGGGATTTGTGGTGGACAAAGTGGCGCTGGAGCAGGTTTTCTCTGAGTACTTCGGTTTCCCCTGCCAATCTTCATTCCACCAAATTCTCCATCATCATAATCACCCAGGGCAGGCTACAATAGGCCAATCAGTGGCCACCATGCCGAGCGGACCCAATTGGACTCCACCCCCCACTAAGCGAATAATTTACCCTCAAGGAAAGAGCCCCCCAGTACCAATTGGATAGGAGGTTGGGTCTGTGCAACACAGAGAAGAGAACACTCTTGTCCCTCCTGCATACTACCTATTACATATTGTTTTATAAGGTTTTGTATGGGTGTGAAACTTGGCATTTCATATTGAGGGGGAAAAATATGCTTAGGATGCAGTGGCGGCTCGTAGCTAAAATTAGTGGGGGTGCTGCTCCAGAAAATTTGTAGCCTTTGTTTTAAAATTGTATAAAAGGAAACAAACATGTATAAAAAGAAAATTTATTCAGAAACTTGATAAAATCCTAAAAGAACAAAATCAAACATTTTTTACTTACTTTAACCTAAATTGTTACAGTTCAAGCTTAATCTATTCATTTAAAAATGAAATCCATTCTTTTTAACCTTTATATTATGCTCATTGATTGAAAGTCTGCATGCCTCACTAAGTTTCTCCTTAATACTTACGGTTCCTAAAAGTGACAGTGAAACTGCATTATCAACATGCTTCTTTGACTTCTCATGCTTTTCAGTTTTTTCTTTCATTTTGTTTATATTTCTAAAACCATCTTTTGTCCACGTTACATCACCCCCAAGCAGCAAACACGGGAAGCAAAACAGTGCATATTTTACTTCACAGCCGCAAAGCCAACTTTTCCGTTTGTACCATTCAGAATTAAAGCTACGAATATATTTCTTGTTCTTGCTTATGCCTGGCTGAGATATTAGAATATCAGGTGTTAAACGACCTCTTTTCTTAACTGCAACTTTCTCATGGAGAGACAGTTGTGAAAACTTAAGCTGTTGAAGTTCACTTACAGTCACAGAACTTATTTCTCGGGGATGCAAGGCCATGGTTAAAATTTTCTGTTAAATAAAAGAACCGAAAAAAAATGAATCTAATAGAATAGCTGGAAGCAGGATAATAATCTAATTCTACAATTAACTCATATTTTTTAAGCACAACACCCACGGAGTAAAAAAAACTACCTTCCATCAGCACGCCAGGGTTGGCACCGGTCGGCACTGTCGTTCCTGCAGTGCTCCCTCTCCCTTGCAGCCTCGCGTGCAGCTTCCTATGTGCGCATGCGCACAGTCAACGAACACCTTGCCGCTGCAACTGTGAAACGCACAGTTCCATACAAAGATTTGGCTACTGACATTAAGCTTAAGGAATATGTATTGTATTGTACAAGTATAAAGAAAGAATTAAAGAAAAAAGGACTCATTATATAAATGTTATCGATAATATCAAGTGGAAATTGGGGGTGCTGCAGTTCCGCAGTGCCTATACGCGGGCCGCCCCTGTTAGGATGATTGAAACAGCATGTTGGGGAGAATATATGGGCCTAAGGTAGGACTGAATGTCACAGCTGGGATGTTGGTATTGCTGCCTTGAATCCAGAAGGTTCTAGGTTCAAATCTCAGCTTACTGGTGGCTCTTGTGTCTGAGATTGTTTGTGGTCTCTCTCAGTCCATCAGTTCTGCAAAGAGATGATGTCTGCTTCCCTACACATCCTTTCCAGTACATTATTCACTAATTGTCCCACCATTCAATACTATATACTATGCGGCATTGAAAGTGTCGTTAAATAAACCTGAATAAATAAATAATTTCATAAGAGGGAGGAAGTAACAGGAGGATGGATGAAATTGCATAATGAGGAACATTACAATTTGTGTTCTTCGGATCTTAATAGGGTGATTAAACTAAGGAGGATGAGGTGAGTAGGGCATATAGAATGCATAGGAGAAAGGAGAAATGTGCGTAGAATTTTGATTAGAATGCTTAAGGTTGGAGACCACTTGTGAAATATAGGTATAGATAGGAGGATGATATTAAAGTAGATCTCAATGGTGTCTGACAGTGTGGACTATCTGGCTGTGGTTAGGAACCAGTAGCAGGCTCATGTGAACATGGTGATGACTATTTGAGTTCCATAAATGACAGAGAAGATTTTTATCAGTTGAGTGACTGTCACCTTCTCAAGAAGGCCTCTGCTCTATGGATTTAGTTCATTTGAGGCAGACTGGAGGATACATTTATCAGTCAGCTTGATCTGCAACAAACAAATTTGTCCCATTCTTCTTTTTTCTTATGTCCTTTCCAGACTGTGCAAAAGGATGCACGGGCTGACCTCAATGTGATTGAAAAACGCATTCGTCAACAGGAGACAGACGTGGAGAGAATGAAGGATGAATACCATCGAGAACTTCTGCGTTTGCGTAATCTTATCAAACAGAAGGAAATTATCATCAGTCGTCTGCAGCAGGAGAAAACGTATGTTAACAACTTTGTATGTTACTTGTGCTCGTGTACAGATTGTATGGAACTAAACTCAATATGGAGGGAACCACACAATGGTTGCACTTTACTGGATTGAAACTTTGCACTGGCCACAAACTGGCTTACATAACTACTAAAGGAAAAATGTCATAATATGTGATACTATATGGCTCTAATAATAATGGGCAGTACAAACAGTGTGCATGGCTCAGTTCCTTTGAAGTATGCAGTCATTTGTAATCTCATATGCAGTATCTCATACATAGTTCGTCAGAAGGGCCGTGCCTTAGCTCAAGCAGTTAGTCGCTGGCTTCCCACCGCGGTGGCTCGGGTTCAATCCCAGGTCTAGTCAAGTGGGATTTGTGGTGGACAAAGTGGCACTGGGGCAGGTTTTCTCCGAGTACTTCGGTTGCCCCTGCCAATCTTCATTCCACCAATTGCTCCACAATCACCCTCACCTATCATCTGGGGCTGGTACAATAGGCCAGAAGTGGTCGCAGTAGAAGGGACTTAGTCCCACCCCACTAGCAATAAAGAAAATAGTTCATCACGTAGCAAACATATGTAGGTTTCTGCTGGGTCTGCAAGGTGTGTGATCACATACTTTAATTTAGAGTTACCTTCAGTTCAGATCTGGTTGGTCATAGCATCATGAAGCTTCAGTGTGATAGAAATCATCCCAGATGAAAATCTATGTTTTACTTCACTTCTGTCATAGACTTTCTGATGAAATGGTAAGTGGCAGCACTATTCTGTTTATCAAATATTCAATAAGTAAAATATCTTTTTCTGAGCTGATACTGGTATATATGGTGCAGTTCCATGTATTTGTATATGTTGAGAACGTTTTTAAAGATCATATTTTTACATTTCCTCATTTGTTATTTCAAGCTCAGGGCTGTAGTTGAGACACGGAACTCCAGGAGGACACCCTGGTATTTTTTTAGTTATGGAGTAATGACCCAGTGCTTTGAGTAGGCCTGTGTGCATTTCATGAACTATTTGTCATTCAGTTCTGTTTGTAAAATTACAAAGCTATAATTAAATGACAAGAAATGTGTATATCATGATTCATGTCCACATCTTTCACCATGCCAGACTCCGTCAGGGCTTTTATTTTTAGTATTACACCCCTGTTGAAGTCTTATTCCATATATCAATGCTAGAATTAAATTTAAGTTGAAGTCAGCCTGTTCTAATAACCTTACAGGAAACATTAAATTTTCCATGGTAATGGAGGGGAAAAGTGGAATAGATAATTAAAAGCAATATATATTCCAAAGATCTAGAAATACCCACTCTCTGTGCTGCATTCAACCCTGAAAATGACCTACTACTTTGAATAATCTGTTTGAACTTTTGGTTTAGCCATTTTCACAATGTCCTGGAAAAACAGACACAACAAAAAATAATAAAAAAATAAAAGTTCATGCACTTAAAAGTAATCTGTTATCTTTTCAAAATTACATGCTTACACTTTTCTTCCATTCTTTTAACTGAACACAAAATAAATATACATAAGGTTAAATAACACTATATCAGCTAAATTTGAGAGAAAGAAATGAAAAGAATAAAACTGCACCCATTCAAAATTGAATTTGAAAGGTTAAAGAACACTGCACCACAAAAATCTGAAATTAAATACATCGGTTGTAGCAGTGCATTTTAGTGATGGATGATACAGAAGCTAATGAACTCTATGCGAAGTTGAAACCTGTAACAAACTGTAAACTATAGAATTTACATGACACACTACTCATCAGTAAAGGCAGGATTCATGCCAAAGCAATTTGTAACACAGAAGAGGCAACTAGCAGCTGTTGATGTATATCACTTTTATAAATTGAAGGTGTTTAATGGCAGCAGTTCGCACCAGAAATATGACAGTTTTGCAGTTAGAAGTATCCTGAAATGATATATGGCATGGTTTTTTGACCAACTTACTTGCTCACTCATTTAGTGATTTTTGTTGCCCTTTGCTTATGGCTCTTGTTTTCCCCTCCACATCAGCTAATTATCTTGCATAACCACAGGTAAGGAAATGTGCCTAACATTAAGTAATGCTTTAATATGGCTGAGAAAAATAATGAGATACTGAGTTCAAGCAAATTGTACAAACATATCAGTACCTCAGTGATTGCTTTATTTTCGATTACACGAAGTGGATTTTATCAGAGAAGTATGGAGCAGAGTTGCTGATTTTATTATTATTGTGTAAAACAATTGGGCCCACAGGCGTTTAACCTCCCATTTAGTGATTTTTTTCATTTTCTGCAACATGCCATATGCAAGGACCACTTCATTCACTGGCATGTTTACAATATCAAATGTTTTAATATGATATTGAATATTGCTGGTTACTTCTCACCTACTGCTTGTTGCTAGTTGCCATGTTGTGAATTCTGCCAGACAGTTAAGACAAAATATCTTTCCAACAGAAAAAGTAACCCTTTTTAGCGGTACTAGGCCTAGATGAAAAGCAATAAAGTAAAAAAATGGGCAGCAGGGTGAGAAGATGTAGTCTTCTGCAAATTTATCCAAAGTATCACTCATACATGTTACTGAAAGAAATATAATCATTATGGGAAACTTGACTGCCTCTGTGGTCTAGTGGTCAGAGCTCCTGGCTACAGATCAGATAACCAGATTTCTTGAGAAGTAGTGGGTCTGAAACGTGGTCCACTCAGCCTCATGAGGATAATTGGGGAGCTGTTTCAAGGAAAAAGCAGCTCCGGTTTAGAAAACCGAAATTAACGGCTGTGGGATACCCTTGCTCTGACCACCTGACACCCTTTACCCGCAAAAGTTGCCACCAACTTTGCCAACAAGTGGCGGTCACTCAGTCAGTATAGTTCACTTGCGGACTACAGACTATGGAATTTGTTTCTTTGTTTTTTTTTATGCTCAGTAACTGAGGGGGCTCTAAAGTCCCATTGTATTGCACACATCAGGTAATCTGCCCATGATACCAATATTCATAGTTCTCATGGGTTTCTTCTTCTGTGTCCTGTACCTGAATCCTGAAAGCAGTAGGTGGTCATCTGGATACTTGTGGAAAAATACCTCAACAGACCTTCACGGTGCTAGACAATCTGTTTCATTTCCAGAAGGAACAGGATTTTTTCTTTGGTCCCAGATCCAGGCTAGCTTTGAGCCTGACGCTGCTTCCTGTCCTGTGATTATTGAGGGCTACTCCTGGTGTTAATGAAATATAAAAAAAAAAGCAATTTCTCGATTTGTCTGTGTGCTTTTGTATGGTGAACAAAGCTGTATTGGTTGCAGGAAGACCCAGGAAGACCTTGAAGTGGTGTGGCGAGCAGCAACTTCAGAGGATTTGCACATAAAAGAAAAGTTGAAGCAAGCCAGCTTCTTACCTGAATAGGAATGTGATCTCTTCCGAAACCACAGCAGAACTCAGCAGTTAAAAACTGTCTGTATGTACAAAAGAGAAGTCGGAACATGCAAATTTGCTGACAAAAATACAATGATCATGTTTTTCCAAATTATTCCAAGTGTAAGTACAGTATGAAAGATATGCATATCAAATTGAGGTGGAATTTAAACATGTACTGCACAAGAATTTTATTTGGAAATTTAAATATTGTTGCAACTGTTTAAAAATTTTTAAAATTTTGAAACAATTAATAGGTTTTCAAAACACAAGTCTGTCCATAGTAGGAAATAATAGGTACAAAAATTCTTTATCTTCTGATTTGAGAGCTATGCTGTCTTGCATGTCCTGTCTTCAATTGAATTTGTATTTCCTGTATCTCTGTCTTTCTGGTTGTGATTTAATCAGTTCTTTGGAAGTCTAATTTCATATCATCTTGAAGTGTCTTCATACCAATCTTGTTTTTCGTTTTCCCAGCAGAGTTCAGATCTATATATATATTTAACTGGTTCCATATTTCTGTATTATTTCCCTTAAAGCCTAGGAGTGTAAATCCAGTTACTGATCTTAGAATCTATGTTTCAACTGACAATCTATCTCTTAGATTCTAAAGAGTTCTGACGAAGGTGGATGACATACAGAATTACTGGGATTTTGGACTTTTTCCATCATCCGGAAATCTAGGTAATAGAGGACACGACATTTCAGAAACTGGATCTGTTTCCATCTTTCTCTTATCCAGTCAGTTCGTGGTCCAGTTTCCATAGTTTCAATTTGACCTAGGCATTTCTGTCACTTTATAAAATTTTTGTTGTTCTTATCTCAGAATTATTTTTTATTTTTCTGCTTTTTCTGTGAAATATATGCAGTTTGGTATGTATATCTTAATTCTAGGAGTAGGACATTCTGTAGCCTATGAAATTGAAACTGGATACTTATTTTATTATTTGCCTCTGTTTTACACCTGGCATGATTCTTCACTCAAAATGTTTNCCCCCCCCCCCCCCCAAGTTAAACTCATTTACTACATCTTCTGGTTGGTTAATGGCTCTCTGCAGTTTGCCTCTGACTCTCCAAATGTTGCCTAATTCTCTGTGCTTATTGGCTGAAATAAACTTATATTAACTGCTGAGAATATGGGAACCTTCGATGTTTCGATGCCTCAGTTTTTTCCCTCGTTTTCATTTATTTTTTAATTCATGTTACATTCTTGTTATAAATAAAAGACAACTGAAGACAGAATCTTGTGACATGAAGGTAAATAAGAATGTGGGGATTTTGTCGTTACTTCAATGACAACCCACTTCTTCGGAATAGTTTGTAGGTCCTGAAAACGACCGTTGGTTGCTGAGATGCTTGGCCAGTGAAGTAGCGTGGCACGCGCCAGTAGGAAGGGATGTTGGTTGCGGTGTGTTGAGGTGGCTGAGTCAGTTGACTGGCCGCAGTGCAGCCGTTGCTGGAGGTTGCTTGGTTGCTGGAAAAGGTCTGCTTGCCGAGCGCGGTCACAGGAGTGGAGAGGCGGTAGCTACGCCAGTTGCCCAGTGTGTCGGGCATGACCACCGGTGAATCGAGGCGGCCGAGTTGCCCAGTGAGTCAGGTGTGACCGCCAGACAGCCAAGGCAGTCGTGCCTGGCGCAGCAAAGTGCCGATGCCTCCGAAGACTGAGCACTGGCGACGAAGTGTGCTGATTGCTTGTAGACTGCTTGAAGACTTCTGAGGAACTGACGTGGAACTGACTGAAGACTGACTGACTTGCGAGCGTTGTGCTCCGCCTTTTATACAGTGCTCGGTGGGCGGAGCAAAACTTGCATTTGAGGAGCAACAATTTGCAGAACGCTGATTGGCTAGCGCGCGTAATGATGTGAATGCGGGCTAGCAGCAAGTGCTGTATAAATGCGAACATTGGAAGCAATTTGATTGGTTAGCATGCGTGATGGTGAAAAGTGAGCACTGTAGAAATAGTGTGATATGTGGGATGTTCCCACAAGAAAGAAACATTTCTAGACATATTTAAGTTAATACTGTGGAGAACTATGGCGTTTACTTTAATTTCAATGATATGAGTATAATATTACATATAAGTGGGACATGAGATGAACACTACATAATAAGATGTTATAGAATTCTAATATCAGTAGCCGGTATATGTTTGTTGAAGTGATCATATTGTGATCTTGTTATATTTGTTATGCACCGTGCCCTTCATCTTCTTCTCCCTGGGATTATTATTACGAAGAGGAAGGGCACAGTGCAATCGTTACTGGACTTATTGTTGGTTCCCACGCTCCCCGAGATGGACGTGGGGTATCCAAGCTAGGAGGAGGAAGCTACACTCAGTTCGTTGGCTTAGATAAGAACAAATACAATTTTAATAAAAATATATATAACAATACATAAATAACAAACGACACATTTGACCAAGAAACTAATGCAAGCTCATTTAGAACAAAACAATTTCCCGTCGGCACCACTTGTGTCGACACTAGACATATTAGGACGTTAAACACTCAGGCTATACAAACACAAATCAAATTCTGAAAAAATACCAAACCAAATCTAATAACGCGCGTCGCAAGCATTCAAGCAATGGCTTGCGACCGCGGGCAGTCCTTACCGGCCAGCCAGATAGCACCAAAAGGGAATTTAGAACAAACCCAGCTGAAACCAATATTTTCCACAACAAACCTGCTGGCTAGTAACCGACCTTCCAAGTCAACTTGGTCTACACGACTGAACTGTACAAGTCTCCTCTTCACGAGAGGGTACATGGGACCACGTGACTGACGTCAGGATACTGCATAGTGGGGATGGAATCCGTGAAGGGAAACATGATGACATCATACGTGAGCGAGCTAAACCTTAGAACGGCTCAGTTATTAATATCATGTGTCAGGATTAGGACCATTGTTTTTAGATATGAAACAGAAAAATTGTAATTATGACAGTCTAGCAAATGTTTTGTATTTTCATTGCATTTTTATGCATTTTGACACCCAATAGAAAACATTGTTGTTCTGTTGTTGCGCTCATGTTTGTTTCCACAGGAACTTGTTTACCAAGCCGTTGCTTAAAAACAGGTTGCATAACCCCATTGTTCTGTTGTTGCATACGTGTATGGTGCAGATGTTGCCTAGCAATGGCCACTGTTTGCAAAGCCACCACTTAGCAACAAGTCTATGTGCCACATTATATTAAAAAAAGAAATGTTTTAACATACAAAATACTAATGTGTAACATAAAATACTAAATCCATTAATATCTACAAATTTATTTGAAACATTTTTTTCGGTGTACTGTGCATTCAATGAAGTACAAAGAAAAATTAACATGAGTGCACACTATTTTATGTAGCAAGATGAACTTGTCAATAATTATGTGCCAGCAATAGATGAACATGAAACCAAATGCAGTATCAGAACTGCAAAGAACACGTTTGAAAAATACATATGTTACAAATATACATGCACCCTTTTCAGATTTGTTCTGATAGAATGTCATTTAGAAGGAATGTTAGGCAGTCTTGTTGCATGGTGGATTATATCATTTGTTGGTATGTCTGATATGACTGTTATTGCTCTATTGCCTGATTTTATGTGGCCCAAGAGAAGCCTTTGCTGCAAGTCAGTATCGGTTGTAGATAGTTCCATCATATTACTGGCCTATTACTTTATGGTGGGTTTGTTGTTTGCAGGAAGGGAGGGAAGGGAAGATATTGAGTTCCAGTGACAGTAGCCAGAGAGGTAGTGACTGTGTGGCTATAGGTCATCTGGGGAATGTACATAATGACTATGAAATCTGTTTCACTACTAGAGTTGATTGGCTGTGCACAATTCTACCTTGTATTTTACTTAGTATAACAGTAAGCGGCCTCCGTAGTCTAGGGGTAACGTTCCCACCTCATGACTCAAGGTACGCGGGTTCAAACCCGGCGGAGGTCATGGAATTTTTAAGGGCGGAAAATTTCAGAGAACAAGTCCTCCGGGAGGGACTTTAAGCCATGGGTCTCGTGTCATAGATTTATGGCACGTAAAAGATCCTCATGTCTCTAGGAGACCTCTGAGCAAAATTAGGCAAGTTTCCCGCCCAAGTAGTTTCCAATGCCTCTGGTAGATGGGGGAAGCATCAAGGTACCAAGGGCCAACCTCGTTGGCTCAACGGGGCTAGCACGCACCAGTACCAGGAGGGTATGGCAACTGGTAGAATATCAAAGGGGGACGTACACTAGATCAACAACTGGTCGCGATGCATGCTAAAATTTCCACAGTCAAATCTTTTCATACACGGTTGTCAACATACTGGGCTACTTACTTCCTTAGACAAAAGTGAGTTTGTAGGAATGAACTCAGCTAATTTTTAAATGCACACAGAATATAGCTGTCTGTGTAAATAGTAGGAAAATATATATCTTGGTGGATATCCCTCCATTGTAGAGGACACAGGGCTTTCATTCAGCCACTCACTATATGCTAGTATGCATAGCAGCAAATATCTGATGCCTGCCAGCAAACTTCTCAAGTCAGAAGAGGCCCATCTGCCACTTCATCTTATTGTCACATGTAGGGGATCTGCGCTTGACTTATCAGGCGGGTTTTGGATTGGATGGTTGGATTTATTGACACCTTATACATTCCACTTGGAACTACAGGCAGTACAGGACTATCGCTGATCTACACACTTCACAGTTCACCGTTGTACACATACTAGGGTTCTCAGCCTTCACTAGTCATATCCAGGCGGCAGGTTTATAATAGTCTCAGTGTCGCTTCAAATCACACATGAAGCCTTCTTTTCACAGCCTAATTCCTTTCTTGCCATTTCAGTAGACTCAATTCAATTCCCCTGCTCCCAAGCTCATATCTTGGGAGGCTGGCATCTCAAAACTCGACTCATCTTGACTACTACTTCTCAAATGAACTCTTCTTTATAACCACTTTGCACAGACCACGCAGAAAACACAACCTCTGTTGTTGAGAAAGTATGTTTACATCACTGTTGCATAGCAATGGAAGTTACTCAGTTGTTTCTTGTGTATTTGTTGCCATGGGAATGTGTTCACCAAGTTTTTGCCTAGGAATGAACATCTATTCGGACTTCAGTATTCAAGCTTTCAGGTGTTATATCACAATGTGTTGTGACTTTGAGGCTTAAACTAAGCATGAGTGTACAACCAAATATGTTTTTAGAAAAAGAGCGCTCAGAATGCATAACATATTGAGCCCAGAATGTAACAGAAGAATATGTTCTTTTGTTGTTGTACATAAAATCAGGTTCTGTACATTTAATTTTTGGGGTTTGCTTGCAGGTATTATTGAAAGAATACCCTGATGTCACTGTGCTCTTCCTATGTGAGTATGTTGAGTAAGCATTCTCTCTTGTGTAATTATGTGAAGAATTAGGTTATGTTAGATGGGCTGGACCTGTCTGCAATTTTGCTAGGAAGCTATGCACATTACATGCTTAAAATTTATTAAATAAATTTAGTCATTGTTTTGTACAAGGAGGTACAGAAATCAGATAATTCACTGTTGTTTTTATGATAATTTTAGTGTCTTAACACCATAAAGAGGAAATCAAACTGGGGTATCAGCTGTTCATAACTTCTTTATTAAAACTGTCACAATACAACTATATCGAGGTCAGTGCCTAGTTTCGGCTCTGCTACATGTTTCGGCTATTAATAGCCATCATCAGGTAAATACATGGCTAATACACCACTGAACTGCAGTACTAGTAAAATTGGATACAATAATATTAATTATATAAAATACTTGAAGTAAAAAAACAATAAGTTAGATTATATAAAACAAAAGTTATAGTATAAAACAAGAATAAAATTATTCAATTCATGCTTTACATCATCGAGTCATTCGTTGGGTTTTGTAATTTTGTTGCTTTCCCACTGACAAATTGGAGTATTCTATGTTTTGTGTGTATATAAAAAACTGTTATTGGTGGATTGTGATGTAGATGTAGTAATATTAATGTTAATTATTTAGTCGGTGCCTCATCGTGCGAAGTATTGTCCATTCTGTAGGGAATGTAAACAACGATTCGTTGTGCCAAAACTAGCACTGACCTCAATATAGTTGTATTGTGATGGTTTTAATAAAGAAGTTGTATATTATGACACAACAGGATGCATGAAATAAAAATTATAAAAGCTGTTTATAAATTTAATATTCAGCCTATTCCCACAAACCCTTGGAATCCCTGGGTCTGGTCAAGTGGGTGTGGTGGACAAAGTGGTGCTGGGACAGGTTTTCTCTGAGTACTTCGTTTTCCCCTGCCAATCTTCATTCCACCGATTGCTCCACAATCACCCTCACCTATCAGCTGGGGCTGGTAGAATAGGCCAGAAGTGACCGCAGTGACTTAGTCCCACCCCACTAACAATAAAAAAAAAACCTTGGAGTCCAGAAGTGTTGTACATAGTTGTTTTTATATTGACACACACTGTACTGCAAGGTTTGGTTTTGGGAGAAGGTACGTAGTGTAGCCAGCCCAGGAATTAAACAAGTTTGGAAATGTGCACAGAGCATAAAAGTACTGGCACATTCACTCAGTTATTGTCCCTAGATTTCTAGTTCATGAATGTTAACATTTGATGCTCTCATAGGGATAGCATAAAAATGATGATTTCAAGCAAACACTGATACACATGAGCATTTTAAATGTGTCCATCCTTTTTTTACACAAGAACTTCATCAGGGCTGAGAGTTTGATGAATACTCGATTGGTGGCCATGTTAACAAATAGTTACCTCAATCTCATGTTTCAGAAGTGTAATACAGCTGATCTAGATGTAAGTAGGTACATGGCACCGTAATTAGCATACTCCAGTTACCAGTTAGTGCCTTCTAGTCAAGGGATGTGCAAAATATGACATGCAGTAACATTCATTTCAGTCTGGAGCAATATTCAAATATTAATTGTATAGAAATTGTACATTATAACACAACAGGATGCATGAAATGAAAATTATAGCCCTCTAAATTTCCGTGGATGTAAAGGCAGTTTTTAATCGGTAAACAATTGCAAAAATCTTAACATTTAAGGTTCTAAACGTCAGTCAGACAAAACTTATTAATGCTATGGTAGCACAGTCACTGTGATTAAAGTGATTAGTTGTACCATCTATACTTCTTCCTCTTGTTCTGAAGGATGAAAATACATATAGCTCTAACCCCAGTTCTCATACCGTTTCTTTCTGCGTCTCATCTTGGTAACGCATATTGGGACATGCTATTCCCCATAACCAATTGGGTTCTGTGATAAAATAATATTAGAAAGTCAGTCAATTTCATTTCATTGTCTTTCTGAAGTGAAAATTCATGACATTGGAGACCCACTGATGGCTGGGCATGCCAGTGATTGGAAT